GAAGAAGCCCGGCAGCTCGAAGAAGCCCGGCAGCTCGAAGAAGCCCGGCAGCTCGAAGAAGCCCGGCGACTCGAAGAGGCTAGGCAACTCGAGGAGGCCAGGAGGCTTGAAGAGATTCGACAACTCGAAGAGGCTAAGCGGCTCGAAGATGAGAGGATTGCAGCTGAGAAGGCAGCAGAGGAGCGAAGGCTCGCGGAAGAGTCTGAGCGCCGCAGAAAGGCTGAAGAAGAGGCTGCTCTCAGGAGAAAGGAAGAGGAGGAGCGGAAAGAGCGCGTCAGGCGTGAGCTTGAAGAAAGACGACGCAAGCAGGAAGAGCAGCTCAGAGAACAGCAACGACGAGAACGATTGGAGGCTGAACAACGCCGTCGAGAAGCGTTGCCAGCGTTGCTCAAGCACTGCGCCCTGCTCATTGACAATAGCGATCCTAAAGCCAGAAGTGAACCTTGGCTCAAGCTCTTCTTGCCACTGTACACTGTCAAGTCTGCGCAGCTTGACCCCAATACTCTGGATGCCAATAGGGACGACCTCTGGGTACCCAATTTTCAAGTTGCTGGATTGCTTGCGACCAAAGATTTGAACCTACGAAGCTATACTTCTCTGGAAAGAAGACCAGTCACACCACACGAGCGACAACGTCTTTGGCAAGTATCGAGGAACAACCTATCGTACGAGTTTCAAACCAATCAGTACAATACGACGATCAAGATGGCTATCCAGCGCGAGCGAGAGGAGCGACCAAAGTTCTTTGCCATGGAGGAACTTTTCTGGGTCAAGGTACGTGTTATCTCGAGTCTGCAGGCTTACTATTTGGTGGCTGACTTGAAGACAGCTCTCTGGCTTTGAAGATCAGATCTTCCGGCATCAGCACCTGGCAAACCTGAATATCAGAAAACAGCCCATCTCACTCAGAATCTTTTCGTCTCAACAGCAGAACGCCGACGAGTTGTCACCGCAGAGTCCCGCTGCATTTCCAGACTTTGGTAATAACGCTAAATCAGCCCAGTTGATGAATGGCATCAGTTCCCATGCGGCGCCCATTATTAATGGCAACGGATCCGGATACGGTCGTTGAGAGGGTTAAATAATTGATGACCATGGGGACGCTGACCTTGTTGCGCCATCCACGGAGACCTTTCGAGGACGCGGATTATGATATTGACAGTCTCAATTAGCTTCGGATGCAGTGAATGGCGGTTGTAACAATCCATTCGTTGATGGGAAAAGAAGGATACGAAGGCATGAATCTACCACATGATGGAGGCTATAGATAGCGATCATCGGACTGTAACCATGAGCACAATACCGAGTACAATGTGCATGACGAGAGGTTTTCGCCTCCAAATGACAGCCGCAGATATTTCTGGTAATTTGCTGCCAGTATGCAGTCCTCTCGCTAGTCTTCTCGTTAATTTCTCGTGTTTCTGACTTTTTCCCTACCTAGGTATCTAAGTCATACCAGTCTGACCGGCTCGCCGGCTCACACCCTCAATTCGAGGCACGTGACCGTGAAAGTCTTGGCAAAGTCTTGGGGGGACACGCACCGTAATTTCGCATTTTGCACCTTCAAAAAGTTTCAATCTTTCCTTTTACATGATACTATTCATTCCTTTCACGAGTTGACTCTTTGAGGATCATCCGACAAATTGTTGATAGACAAGTACTTGCGCATCAAGTAACGAATCGCCAATATGGTATGTCATCTCGTCTCTCATGAAACTTTTTCTTTGTTGCGTGTTAGCCCGATGTTTGGATTCCTCCCAATGTGCGCGGTGTTTGTGTGTCCAGACCTTCTGGGTGTTGCCGGAGGATCTAGAGAGGGGGAGACGTTACGGTCAAGACAAGGCAACGATGCACACGACATCACGATATGATGGGGGAATTTCCTTGATTCCTTTCCTCCCCTCCTTGATTCTGTACGAAGCCCAAAAATACTGACGCTTGTTTGTTCACCACGCAGTCGGAAGGAGAAGAGCCCACTTCCCCCGTCGAAGAAGTCGCCGCGGCTGATGAGGTCGAAGTCTCCGGCGATGCCGGCGCCTCTGGTTCCATGTCCGTCCTTGACGCTTTGAAAGGTGTGTGTTTTGGCGTAGTTTTTCTTGAATTAGGTCCGCGGGAGAGGTAAAACAACGAGATTCCCGGAAGAGACGGAAAATGATCGACGTTGCTCTCGATGTACATCGGAAAAAGAAACATCGATGGAAGGAAGGGATGAAAGAAAGGAAGAAAAGAGCAGTGATTGAATTTGGGCTGACGACATTATGCCTAAACAGGCGTCCTCAAACTCGCCCTCATCCACGACGGCCTCGCCCGTGGCCTCCGCGAAGCCTCCAAGGCGCTCGACCGCCGCCAGGCGCACATGTGCGTCCTCAACGAGGCCTGCGAGGAGGAAGCGTACAAGAAACTCGTCATTGCGCTGTGCTCGGAGCACAAGATCCCGCTGATCAAGGTCCCCGACGGCAAGATGCTCGGCGAGTGGGCCGGCTTGTGCGTCTTGGACAGAGAGGGCAACGCCCGCAAGGTGGTCAACTGCAGCTGCGTCGTGGTTAGGGACTGGGGCGAGGAGAGCCAGGAGCGTAATGTCCTCTTGAACTATTTCCAGACCGAGCAGTGAAACGGAGGAGGCTGCTGCCGCGGCCGGCTCCTCTTTGTTCTTCTTTCTTTCTTGCTCGCTGTGATAGGGTTGGGGACACGTGGAGACGGAGACGGGTACTCGGCGGGTGTGTGTTTGCGTCGAGATGGTGAGGGTGAGGTGGAAGAATTCAGATACCGCTCCACGGCTGTGCTTTGCTCTGCTTGCTCACTGCCTTGCTTTGCTTTGCTCCACCCTTTGTGGCATGTATGGCAAGAGCACAGCACGCAAGGAGGGCGATGGAACCCAGGAAGAGACTCCAAGAACAAACATCATGCATGCATGCTGCATATGCACCGGGATGGAAACCAAATCATAAGGGTCAACTTTTCTCAAAAATTTCTTCTCAGACAAACCACAAAGGGCCAAAGGCCAAAGGCCGAAAACCAAAATGACACTTTCCCAACCCCGACCGACCAAAAATGTGGCCACAATAGGAAAAATGGTTATTATCAAAAGACGAGATCTGAGCCTCACGCAGGAGACGGGAAATTCCAAACCCTACACGCATCCATGTTCAATCCATCTATGGTCTTGCCTATTTCCTTGTCTCGGCTTCCTTATGTGAAGGGTGTGAACTGTGAGATTCTCCACATCAGATCTGTTCATCGGTTTCCATTATCATGTATTCTGTGATTCTAGCATATATCTGGTCGAAAGCATGGCCTGCGGTGTCTGGATTTCTGTCCATCTCATCTGTGGTCGTGAAAAGCGTTTGCGTGGTCGTAATGACTGATGGTAAAATTCCAATGAGCGTCATGTGCCAATGGCCGTAGTCTCGTAACTCATTCCACTATCGAAAGACGGTTGTGCGGATCCCACGGGTGCAATGGTAGAGAAGGTTCCGGTCTGATAGCAGAAGTCGATCTCTCGGTAACTGCCATCTCTTCGTCCTCCCTTACACCACGCCCATACTTTCCGTACCTTCGCCGCCCCTGGTGCCCGCCGCGTTTTCCTGCATCAACCGAATTTTCCTTTTCGCACTCCCAAATCCATCGATCCCTTTCTCTTGGTTCTCGCCCAACCACGCCTTCGCCGCCTCTCCCATCACACCTTTTCCAAAGTAATAAACAAAGTGGCCGATCATGATGAGAGTGAATGCAATGGGATACATCCAATGCACGTGTAAATGGAAAACCTGTAATCCGATAATGACGCCCCAAAAGTTTCCTGTCAGCAGCGAAATGTTCTGGAATGCGGCACTGGCGAAGCGATACAGAATGGGAACGAGCGTATAGAAGATAAACAGAATAAGGGTGTAGCCTGTCAGATAGCCGCCCACTTTGCCGTTCCAGGTCGCGGTGTGGAAGGAGTGGCGGTCAAAGATGCCGGCTTGTGCACCGTTGATGATGGTGGCCCAGAACCCGAGTTGGCCGATTACTTCGTAAAGGGGGCGGCCGGACACAAACCATTCCTCGTAGACGTTGTCCAAGCCGTAGAAGGTGGCGCCCAACAAGGCAAACAGGTCGCCTTTGAGCTGATTGCCGGAAGAGACGTCGCCGCCATTGGCACCAGTGATGTGGTCAGACGCCAGCAAGAGGCCCATTCCGCCAATGCATACAAAGATGCCGAGAACTTGGGCCCAGTGGTATCGCACGCGGAGGAAAACGAAGGAGATGACCACAACCACGACAATAGCCCAGAAGTTGATGAGCTGGGCCGAGAGGATGGTGGTGTAGCGGTAGGCGAGGACCGTGAAGTAGTTGCCCTCCACATCAAAGAAGGCGAGAATGATGTCTATTGTCAATGGTTAGTGCTTGAGCATTTTACCATGTTGCAGAGCAGGAAAGAGCATTACACTTCCATCCGTCCTTGATGACCATCTGCAACCACTTCTTAAAGCCATACTTGTAAAGAGTGTAGCCCGTGTAGACGAAATTAAGCAATACGTAATTGAACAGGGTCTGAAAGGCAGGGATGCTGGTCCCCTCAGCCACCAACAAGCTTGTCAAAGTGTTGGTGCCGGTAATACAGATAGCCAGTATCTGACCCAGGCACAAAATGAGCCAAAAATCCTTGGTCTTGAAGAAAGCCAGTTTGGAGTGCCATGACTGTTTGCCAGGTTCGCCTGTTTCGTCGCCAAGGGCAATGGGACCACGTTCGGGACTTGCTTCGATGATCTCTGGATGACCGTGCTCGACCGGGGAGCGAGAGCTGGAGGAGCCGGTGCCATAATCACGGCCAAGGTCGACGCTGGTGGCGCGGATCGCTTTGATGTCCTTGGAGTCGGTCATGGTGAGTTGCCCTTGGGGGGATCAGGAATTGTGACCAGGTTTCTATTGGAGGAAATGGTCAAAGTCGGAGCTTTATGTCGAGAAGCGAGCGCAAAACTCCCGAAGTCGCTCACTGTGGAAGATTGGGTTGGCAATGCCTAGGAAGGGCGATAGAAAGGAAAAAGAAAAGAGCAGAGAAGAGATGGCAGGAAAAGACATTTTGTAGGGTGTGGTTTTTTGGATGTTGCATCTGGTGATCGGTGGTGACCGAATGATGTGCGTCGAGCCAGCAGAACCGAGTAACTCGACTGGTGGGCATTGAGTGGCACTATAGGTGAGAAGGGAACAGAGGGCGCAGGTAGAGTGGGCAATGGTGGGGGAGAGAGGAATTTTTTCTGCTTTCTCTTTGGTAAAGACCGCCGCTTATCGCCTCGGGAACAGCCCACGTGATGGACGCATCGGAAAAAGTATTTCCCGTACCCCGTGACATGTACCTGAGGGAGCACGTGACAGGGAGGCTGCCATCGTCAGGTCGAGCAGTGCACCGTTGTGGCAGAACTTGCATCAATAGTCAATACAGGTATGTGCATACAGTATTAGACATGAGAGTGAAGAGCCCAGTCCTACCTAGGTAGGTATACCTACCGTATAAGTACATACTTAGGTACTCCGTACTCCGGACCCCCCGGGTACAAATATGGTGCTAGCAAGGAGTTCAGGGGGCGGCTGAGGCAAAATCGAACCCGGCCTCGCTCCACATAACTGGAGATGGCTCAATGGCACAATTTCCCTTGATACTGTCTTATACCAACCAGGTCGCATTGAAGTTTCGGCAGGTGGCGGCTAGCAGGGAGTCACAGTGGAGGCTAATGCAGGGATGGACAAGGTGAACCCCCAACTGGATCCAATGGCTGGCCGACCGGCGTTGAGAAATGCTGGGCAAGCTGGGGTTCAGCCTCATCAGGCTGGTGCGAGGCGCCACGGCACCAATGGAGCACGCGAGCGAATGGCCAGATAGCAAATAGAAAACAGAAGACCGTGAGCCAGCGCCACCGAAGGAACCCTGGACGAGCCTTGACGAGCCTTGGCCGCCTTTTCTAGACCAGACAGAGATCAGACAAGCCCAGCCCATTGATCAAACCGTCCAAGACAAATGTCGTGATTTCAAGCGTCGATTGCACTCCTCAATCCATCGCGCCGTCCATCCCACTATCCTCCCCGACACTCACTCGTTCACTGCTTGCTACGCTCTTTTATTCTTGTCTCTCTCTTGTTCTTTTTGACGACTCTCCTTGGATCATTCATTCTCATAGAACTAACTAGCGGGGGAAAGGGCAAGGCAAGGCGGACATTTTCAGGGGCGCGGGCGCGCCTTTTCATTCTCTCTTCCGACTCCACCATCCGATTCATTTCATACCACTCAGAACCCAATACCCAAGACCCAGTCCTCAGCACCCCGTACACGGCTGGACACTTGATCGAACATCATCTTCTCTTGATACAACGCCAGTGAGGTCGCTTACCATGATAACACCATGAGTCACCACGAACTCCAGACCCTCCGTGAGCCTCTCATTAAGTGTGAGGGAGATGTCTTCCTGGACACCGATTCTGCTCTCCACGATGGCGTCCATGGTGAATCTCTTCGAGACTTGCCCAAACAAATGCTTTCCAAAGCACTTGCGCAGATCCGTCCGGCCACAGTCTACAAAGTCGGCAAACGATTCGCCTACTGCTTCGCCCCTCAGTTTGTGCGCTCTCGATACTGGAACGATCACGCCTCCAAACCCAAACAATTTCCTACCAGTTACCTGAATGGCCTGCGAGGCATAACCTCTATCAAGGTCTTTACCTTTCACTTTATCATGGCGTACAGCGACATCGGGTTCCAGCCCTGGGGGACTAACGATCACCATCGCTATGTCCTCGAGCTTCCCATTATCCGATACTTCTATTCCGGCTTCACCGCTCACGTTTTCTTCGGCATTGCGGGATACCTCACTTCTTTACGACTGTTCCAGCTCCTCGACAAACGCGATCAGCCGTCTCAGTCTAAGGTCTTGATGAACGTCTCGGGGGCTCTGTTCCGTCGAGCCTTCAGACTCTATCTCCCGGTCCTCATCGTCACCCTCATTACGGCTCACTACATCCACTTCGGCTTCTACGAGGGGAACAGAGCTTACATCACTGATCATGAGAAGCTCTTCCCGGGCGACTGGAATGAACCAAAGCCCGAAATGTTCCCCACCTACTATCACCAACTGAGTTATTGGGCCCGAGAAATGTTTGACTTGACAAACATATTCGCCCCGGGCGCTGTCTATCCCTACCATGACCAGCATTTGTGGTCCATTCTGGCCGAGTTGAAGGGTTCAATTTTCCTCTACATGATCTTGATGGGTACCGCGCAATGCCAGAAATACGTTCGATTGGCCGGGCTGTGTATCATGACAATCATGTTTTTCCTGTGGAATCACTGGGAGATCTGGGTCTACATTATCGGCGCAGTAGTTGCACAGATTGACCTTCTTCTCACTGAACGTGAGCAGGAAAAGAAACTTACGTTGGTTCCAAGCCGACTACCTCCGTCGCCGCCACACTCACCCAAACCAGACTACAAGCCGCCCCCAACATGGTCTGATTACCTCTCAGCCCCTCCCCAAGGATGGTTGTACGGCCTTCGGATCTTCGGTTTCTTGCTGGCCTTCTATTTCCTGTCCTATCCCATTGACGGCTCAAGGGATTACGCTCCTGGATACATGACATTGAACAAGCTTATTCCTGCATGGATGGACCGCAAAGACAAGTTCTACCCAAATATCGGAACAGGTATCTTATTGTTTCTGCTCGCCCGCGCAGATCCGGACAAGTCCATATGGCGGCGTATCCTCAACAGCAGCCTCGCGCAATACTTGGGGAAAATCAGTTTTGGTCTTTACCTGGTTCATGGTCCCATTCTCCATGCGATTGGGTACATGATCCCCCATCGGATATGGTGGTCAATGGGTGTTCAGGGCATTGATACGACCGATCTTGTTTGGACATGTGTGATCATCATTGGGTGGTCAATCAGCCTGGTGCTGTCCTTGTGGGCGGCCGACGTGTGGACGAGGGAGGTTGAGAGCAGATGTGTCAAAGCCGTCAAGAAATTGGAGGAAATGTGCTTTGTCAAAGCCTGAATTGTGTGTAAAAATTACAATAGATTGCTGTCTAGCCTGTGCCTATTGTGCCTGGCATTGTCTCAGCGTTCAGCGACACAACATTGGCGTTTACATTCATGGAGTGGCTCATGGTCAGGTTTTGCATAAGATACCCATAATCAAGCTGAGGTTTCTGTACCATTGATAACCGTGGATCGCTCGGGTTGTGAGGATGTCCATGTGATCAACCCTTTCTCTGTAACGTATAGTGTCCTCCGCAAGTTCGACAATCCCAATGATAGACTTATTGCGCAGCCTGTTTTTGCCTCTCATCATATGCCACGATGTCCTCGACGGTCTCTCGAGCTGATTCTCTGGCCGACTTCCATTGCTGTCTGCCGAACACTTTTTCAAATTTTGACATGTCCGTCTTGACCAAATTAGGTGGCGGTCCACCACCTGCATCCTCTTCAGGAGCAGGAACTCGATCCCTCAGCTGAGGGAAATCCTCTCGGACCCCGCGCGCAACGTCGTTAGCTACCATCAACTCGGGCGAGTGGAACATATATCGTTCGTTCCCTGGAATGCTGGGTGACAGAGCCTGGATGTGGATGCGCGAGACATCCTCGACGTCCCTGGAGAGTAATAAAACGGTTAGCCGAGCTGAGTGGACGCCAGACAGACATAGAGGTGGTACCTACATGAAGAATGGGTACAAGAAGCCAGGCCTGTCGAGGTCGAACAAGGCTCTGTAAAGACCAGGCTGACCACCGAGATTCCCCTTCTCAGGTTTGAAGCCTGCTTGGAGACTCTTGCCTGTGATGGACGGTGCCAACAAAACGATCAGATCAAAGCCCCGTGGTTTCTGGTTCATGAATTCCCAGGCCTTCTTCTCTGCGGAAACCTTGGAGTACTGATACGCATTGCTAGGACTCATCTCTGCTTCCTCAAGAGGGATGGGATTCCAGCTCTTCTCGGATATCGTCTTTCCGGAGAACATATCATCAACTCGCATGGTAGAGACCATGCTTCCTGTGATGACAACTCTCCTCACACGGTCTGATTTCTCGGCCGCGCTCAAGACATTGTGCACAATGGCCCAGCTGGGTTTGATCAGCTTTTCCATGAGATTGTCGTATGCGAGGGGCGTGGCAATGTGGATTATTGCGTCAGCTCTGCTGGCTAGTTCGTCGAAGACGTTGGGAATAGTCATGTCTGGGATCTCCGCGAAGCACAGACGACCCTCTGAGACCTGAAAAGCGTATCTGGACCGCAAGGCTGCTTCAGACTGCGCGAAAGAACGGAGCACAGCAATCACATAGATGTTGGAATCGGCCGCCAGGCGGGCCAGGGTCGAAGCACCCAACGATCCACTTGCTCCTGTGAGAAGAACGGTTGTGTTCGACGACATGGCTCTGTCTGTCTCTGTGATTCTCCAAGAAGGTCTTTGCAACGATAGACCACCCCTGTAGACGGCATGTCGATCTTTGGTACCTTTATATCCCACCTAGACAGACACCTGGCCCCACCTCCTTACCACTGAGCACCACCCACGGAGCAATGCCCAGCGAAGATGGATGTTTAAGGCCCTGTTTACGTGGTAACCCGTTTAGTTAAACATCAGTACGTTTTCGAAACGGTACGGAGATCGAGCTCAAGAGTCTTGCAGATCCATTACCAATTCGAAGCCGACTTGAAAACGACGACTCCACAAGGCAACAATCCGGGGGGACGAGCACATCTATCAGGAGTTGACTCTGGGCTTCTAGTAAACGACTGAGTTCTCGTTTACTAAGCATACCTCCCCTCCCCCCTTCGGAGCCCCTAAAGCATGCCACCCACATGTCTCTGAGGCCCCTCAATTGCAGGTTTTGGCTCGGGTTGCGTGGCGGATGTCGGAATCTGACCACAAGCTGGATGAGCGCGATAGCTGCGACGATCTGGAGCTCATTCGGGGAGTTCTCTGCTTAACCAACGGTTACTTTCCTCGAAACGGATTGCAAGAAGTTCGGAGACGTCCGACCACGCCAAAGCACTAACAGGAGAACAATGCCATCTCAAATAATGCCTGAAGCTTCCCAGTCTTCCACAGCTAGGTCCGGGACGGTTGCAATAAGAGATGCACTTAGCCGTCCATCGGGATACTATGGCATAATAACGAGGGCACCTGGATGAGCTGAGCACAAAACCATGCTGCAAACCGCTCTGCACCGGACCGATTACATGCAATGGGAAGCTTACTTCTGGATCCTGCCGGTGATTCCGAAAGTCGAAGTATTAGTTCTCGTCTCCCCTAGACAAACCAAATTCAGCTCCGACTCATTTGACTGCTACTAGAACGAAGTCAAGAAATTGGGACATCCTGACGATAAGTACTTTAATTGCAAGAAGACCAGTTCGACATGCTCTCTCAGAACCCACCTCGGACTCACCACCCTCACCTGGTGTTGTCTAAAAGGGAACCTCGGGAACAGGTACCACAGGAAAATTGCATTTATATGGCAATTGCTCTCATGGGTGGTATGATCCTCATCACGAAACCAGCGCTGGTGGTCTTTGCCTTACTCCTTGTCGGATATGGCCGGTTGTACCATGTCGAGCAACACGAAAAGCCTCACGGATTGTGGTCGCGGGAGCATCACTCGGAACACGCTCTGCACTTGGGACCAAGCCAAGAGCATGGGCAGAGGCAAGCAAGCTTGCATGATCTTGCCAAAGGGTTGAACCTTCCGAAAGTGAGGCTTGAAGGGGACAAGAAAATGCATCTTCATTGAGCCCGCCGGGCACGCTGCTCACAACTTGTGGGTCAAGCTGGCGAGACATGTTGGTATCCACTGTGGTACTCAGGTTTGGATTGATCAAACATGCGACTTGGTTCGGCGAGCAGATTTTGTGATAGTGGCAGTCCAGATACATGCTCACGACAACAGAGGCTGGAAAACTTGCTCTCCAGTCAAGGGCACCAAGACTCATGCACTGGAACATGCTAACTCTCTCATACGGATCTTGTCCTTAAGGTCGCCAAAGCATTCGCCCATCTGGGAGTCGAAGAGAACTTTGCAAATTCACTTTTGATATTCTACGTTTCGTGCAGACAATCACAACACAGTCACTTGCCAGACAGGATGGACATGTCTTCAATGTCTATGTCAATGCCTACCATGACCTTAAGCGCAACGTCCATGACCTCTGCCATGTCGATGGCTACGGCTTCCGCGACAGCATCAAGTGGAATGGATGTGGCACCCAACGCTTGCAAGATCTCGATGACTTGGAACCGGTACACCGTTGGAGCCTGTAAGTCTAGCACCACTTGCCCATCAGCCTGGACTGACTGACTGTTTTTTTCTTCCCCTATCCAGGCTTCATCTCCAAGACATGGCGAGTCTCCTCCGCTGGCATATTTGGCCTCTATTGCATCGGCGTCATTCTGCTCGTCATCTCTCTCGAGTTCCTCCAACGAGTCCAGCGCGAGTATCAGGGCTCGATTCGCCGCAAAGACCAGAATGCTTACGCCCTGGTCGCCGTTCGACACCCTGAGAATGGGGCTTCTGCCTCGTGTGAGCAGGAAGCAGATCCTGGAACAGATCCTGGAAGGACAACAGCGATGTTAAATCCACCGCTCCCTACAAGACCACTTCTTCCCAAACATCGATCCGTGAACCCAATGACCCTGGTCCAACGCCAGTTCGTGTGCTCTCTTCTTCACATGGTGCAGTTCGGCGTGGCATACTTTATCATGCTGTTAGCTATGTATTTCAACGGTATATCCCGTCTCCTTCTCCTCCTTCATCGTCTTCCATATCTGCAGCATATAGTCGCCATGGCAAACAACTCGTGACAAAGAATAATAACGTCGGTGTGTTGGCAGGATATATCATCACCTGCATCGTCGTCGGCACTTTCCTCGGCAACCTCATCTTCACCTGGGATCAGCTCTCGACTATAACAGAGTCAGTACTACTTGGTTCCCCTTCCCAAGATCCTGCTTATTTCATCATTCATTCTACTCAGCCACACACTTCGCCCCCCTTCCGAGACCTGACAGACTGACCTGAACATCGTCCGAGCCAGAGAAATGCCCGAAGCGGCCGATCTTACCGGGTGCTGTGACTAGGGTAGATTTATTGGATCTGCCTCTGTTTTTGAGATACAATCGACCAACCATACATAGACGACGTGCAAGATAGACGGACAAATGAATCACAGAAACTGATTCCGGCTTCTGGCTCCCCCTGTTGGTACATGCCAGAAGCACGTAATGATTCATGGACGCCAAAGGCGATTGCGACAGCGATGGCGATGGTCGAGAGGACACGTAAAACACGCAAGGTTAACCTCAACCTCTTGATTGAGGGGGTTAAAAAAAGACATTTTATGGATGGTGTCTCTACATACCAAGGAATTATGTACGGAGTACTTCGAACAAAGCCCACTCAGATGGTCTCAGACCGCTTGAGAGGTTGAAGAGCCATCATGCATATCCTCGATTTGGCCTGATCCTTTTCGCCGGATCATTCGTGCCGTCAAATAATCCAGATGAAACCCGACATATCTGACACGGACTTTCTGTTTCAACGGGTCTACAATGTCGATGTCCGCCGCAACTTCTCAGTCCGTGGTGCCAAGTCCATCGCCAATGCGATGTGATGATCTCTGGCGTTGTATTATCCCATGCTGTGTGTGCTTGTTCCATTCGCTGAAGAAGATTGAGCAATAAGCGAGATAGCAGAGCGCGAACATGCAATACAACACGAGAACAGCCATGTTGGCTTTCCTCAGGTTTCCCCGGTAGCTCCAGGCGTAGCCGATCAAGTCTGCGCATTCCTAGCTGGGTCGAGTTTGTCGCGATTTCGGAAGAGAGGTTGTATCTCGAGCCTGCTCCCCAGCCGAGGCCGCCGTGCTTGGGCAATATGTCCTCGCTCCATGCACCCCCGTCCCAGGCGCCACCGTCGTCCAAGGACAGGCTTTTAAGCTGGCCCCTAAGACTGTTGTTATACGTACTGTGGGCGATTACGTTGACCTCTGAAGCAGCGAGGATCCCTTCCACGACGAGCGGAAAATTATATGACTGGATGCGGAGTTACACATCCCGGCTGTGGCCGTGGTGACGGAGAATGCGGTAGTTGCGTTCTTCTCTGCTCCTGGCAGCTCGGGGAAGAGGAGATCCGCCCATTCGACGCCGATCACGGTCCGCGGCAAGAGTGGGTTGTTGGTAGCAGACGACATGGAAGTCTTCCGGATTGCCCGTGACGACTTTGGGGTTGTCCGGTTTCGCTGAGATTGTTGTGTTGGCAGACCTACTGTTGATAGTGAAGGAGTATACTCGAGAGTTGCCTGGACTTGCTTTGGGGAACGTGGCGACGGCTCTGACGCTACCTGTCTCCCTGTTTTTGACATGTCGATTCGTCAGGGGTTGTAGACGATCCAAGTCAGCACCAATCTAGGAATCAGTACCTCCAGCAGGTTAATACTCGACACGAGGTCGCATCAGATTGGCGGTCGAAGGTCCCACGGATACGCCCAGCAAGATGAGCTGATGAGCAAGGCAATCAGCACACACTTCTTGTGCGCTCGTTTCCACTCGGGCCAAATCACACCCCAGCGCTTAGATGGGTGCGGAATGCAGAATTTCTCGGTTTCAAAGCTAGCAGTCCAAGCTTCGTGGGGAATGCCTTCACCAAAAACCCACTCGCACCGGATATAGGTGAAGAGCACAGCTGTCAACGATGGAAGCATCAGAAACTCATGGAGTTTGGCTGCGAATTGTAGAGCTCCGAGATTCTGGTCGTCTTGTCCTGACGGACCGACGACTTCGCCGCCAACATAATACTCGGCCATGTTCAAGGCCACCAGAGCCAAAGCGACGGTGACAGGGACCAAGTGCAGCGCACACCGAAGCAGAGCGCCTGGACGGCTCTTGTGGATTGCGACCTTTGGCTTTTCGGTGAGATTTCGTATGTCCGCGTGAGACGATCAGGTGCCTGATTAACAAGGCTTCAGACACAAGGGTTGATCAAGAGTCTGAGGTAGCGATGCTGCTGCCCGTTGCGTTGTCTGTGGCAGGTGCTGATGAATCTAGCCATTGTTTGATTCATCAGCTGGGAATCGCCCGGACACGGAAGTACCATTCTTTAATTGAGGGATGGCCAACAACGGCCTATATAATAGTCAATGGACAAAGTCAACCAAAGGGCCCAGACACGAGTAGCCTTGTGCTTCGCGTGATCGAGAACAGGGTTATCGCTAGGGGCCAGGGCCAAGTGTACTTATTTATACTGACATGGAAACGCCAGGTACGTGAGACTTGAGAGAGACTCATCGGTAGGTATACCCCAGAGCATCGACCCCGTCACCTTCCATGCAAATGCTTGGAATGTAGGAATGTGTGAGAATAGACCTCCTTGCTCCCTTCAAGAAGTTCAAGAACTGGTCTGCCAGATAAATTGACCCTAGCACATGCCTGAGTCTGCAAGCCCCTTTTGAAAGTCAACCACAGTTTGACGAGACTCCATCCACAATAGCAACTGACATACCGAGTATGTTTGCTGTTGGCATGAAGACAGATTTCAATTGCGTCCGAGGTTATTTTCACTTTGAAAATCAGTGGCCCTCTCACAGGAGTGCCTATGTATACGTATGAGTCTATAGTTCCTGTCCTTCAGATCCGCAGTGACCTTTCGGGGTCAGACTTCCACCCTTCTATTATTAATACCCCCAGTCAGTTACTCATAATGCTGACACTGCTAAATCCTCCGTATAGGGCCAATCTTTGCTGTACCTGCAATCAGGATGGGTGCCTACCGATCCACCAAGGCCACCAGCGTCCCTCAAGCGAAACCCACTATGGGTAGGCTTTTCATGACAGCTTTCCTCGACGTGGTTAGCTATTACCAATTGGCCATAAATCCAGCAGGACGAACAGGCGGTTACAATTGTGGTGCTGAAAAAATCTTTGTTGCTAGCACGTCTCGAACAATGCGGCAATTCTGCGAGGGCATTGGAACTCTGCAGTCGTCGCGCTGGCACTCCACTTGGGACCGAGAATGTTTACATATCCATATATGAAAGTGGAAGTTGGGACGATTCCAAAGGCGCCCTACGGGAACTGGATCGCAGCCTAGAAGCGCTCGGAGTTAATAGGGGAATTGTGCTCGACCCGGAAACCCCCCAAGATGTAATCTCTAAGCCGCCAGCATCCACGGCCTCGATTGATACACTTCAAAATGCCCGCGAGCTCAGACGGATTCCTCACCGATCCCAATTGCGAAATCGATCTTTAAAGCCGTTGGAGATTTAAGAGCATCTGGTATCGTGTTCGACAAGATCTCATTCCTCAACGACGCCATGTTTTCTGTGGCTGATGTTGTTGCCCTGTTGAGCACGAATAATGGTAATTATGCTGCAGCGTGCTCTTTGGACTTTTCCAAACCGCCCCGCTACGATGACACCTTTACTTTGAGAGACGATGAAGGTCATGAAACGGTGATGCACACAGGGCCATACTTCTGCTCATCCAGATCAAGAAGCGCCCTGAAAAGAAATATGCCAGTCCCGGTCAAGAGCTGCTGGAATGGGATGGTCTTTATGGACGCTACTCCTTTTTACAATACCAATGCCACTTCTGTGGGCGCGCTTCATTTTCGAGACATCAGTGACACCCTTGCACAAGCCCACCTTGAAGCGTCCGAGTGTTGTCTTATTCACATGGACAATCCGCTCTCCTCAACCAGGGGTGGCTGGCTCAATCCAGGTGTCGTCGTGGGCTACAACGAGCTTGCATATGACAACGTGCACATTCTTACGAACACCACATATCGCTGCTGGAATATCTACGATCATTTTGGGAAAATCGAATACGATGCTGGTTTACAAGGGACTGGTTCAAGAAAACGACAGCACGGTTGCTGTTGGGGAGATGGATCAGGGAGACCCGGCCCGCCTAGAACGAGGTGTTGGTTGTCTCATCAATGAAATACAAGTTCTGATATCGAATGGCTGGAAAGTCTATGATCACAGATCACTTCAGAGTCGGTCATTGGCCAAATATTATTTCCCTGACGGTCAATTCTAGCTTTCCCACAGTCTTTTCATCACTGTCTGCTTCTGGTATACGCAGGGCGGCTTTGCACTACTGCCTTCCGGGGTGGAGAGCCATCGGTGGGCATATAGTCCCCTCTCGCAGCTTACAAAGAAGCGATAGGGCACATGATACCTTTCCCACAGCATACATGACACATGAGACTTGGAGGTCGGTGTCTGGCGTTATCAGAACGACGCGATACTCATCGGCCAAAATCGGTGCACGGGAAAATCCAAAAACCTGCGGCCAACCACATCTACCATGTTCCTATTACTTAAACTAAGAGACTGGCGAGGATATGGTCTCTTCTCATCCTGGACCTTGTCGTTGACTTTGTCCTACGAATGCCTCTCCAACTCGCCGTCTAGGCGAAAAGCAAGTTTATACCACCGGATTGCCTCCTCCCTGTTGCCCGCATCTTCCAGTCGCTGGGCGAGATCCAAGGCCTTCAACGCTCGTTCCTTGGCCCCAAATTTCTGCGAAGGATATCTTTCCCCAAAAATAAACGGCCGCGCGCGCTGAAACATCATGTCCGTTCTCAGCAGGAACTTCACCCCAGACAGAAGAACCTCACCGTCGTGGTAGACGTCATCGCGGAAAATCGCTGCAGAGCCTTGAACAGGCTGATTCTGGCAGAGCACTGTGCTCGCCGCGGCGTCAGAGGAGCCTGTTGCTGTTGGGTCACTGATGAAGCGGGTTGCTCCGCCGCACTCTGTCGGGACAGTGTTCAAATAAATATTGACAGTCAAGAAGGACTGAGTATCGACTGTTGCGAGGCGGCGGCCGTCGATGTGGGCGCCGAATCCGTCGCCTGATAGTTTGGTTCCTCGTCAGAAAGAGTGCGTCTTTTGGTGGATTTCTACTCAGCCTTCGGCAATTGCATTGGAGCCCGAAACGGCATTGCTGGGACATCCACGAGATGACCTACCTGCCTTATATTTACAAAGCCTAAAACAGGTATTCAACCCCACTGCGGACCACACCTGTCCCTCTTCATCCTCCACCTCGGAGTCCTGGTAGATCCTCGAAAGGCGCGACCAGAGAAGCTCCGCCAGATCGTCGTCTTCGATTATTTTGCGCAGACGGGACGTGTACGTGCCGCTTATGGTGTGCATGTCCGATTCATGGTCGTGCGCCGTGATAAGGTCTGTGCATTCTGCCGGGGTGAGAAGAGACGAGATGACGTCTACAGACCGACTTGGCGTGAAGATATCGGAGGAAAGATCAAGGGGCATTGGGATGGGGACTTTTGTTAATACTATGGAAGGGGAGGGTTCGGCCATGATGCGTGCGTAGGCGCAAACAAGGAGTCCGTTCTACTGTTTTGCGAACTGCCGATGCTCGGCTGGAAGGTGAGAGGCGGGATGATGGTAAGCAGAGGCGATGGATGCATTCATATAAACGAAACCCAGGATACGAGTGTTTGGTGAGTCGTTACGGTGGTTCGCGTGTAGCTTTGCACCCGGCAAAGCATGAGTCACCCTCTGATTCACCGTCACTGTCTGGCGCGAGGCTGAGCCCCTTGAACGTAGAGGCTGTGCACGCCAGCCAGCCAGCAAGGAGCCATAACGGGACAGTCTGAAAGTCCCAGACCCCGACCTTGGTGTCTCGTTTTGTAGTTTGCTTTGGCACTCGGGGCCCTCGTCGACGTGTCCACCATGCTACGGGTCTTCGTCATCGAGTTTTGGCCATCCTGCAGGGTTGTAGGGCCTAAGCCGGATTCAAAAAGAAGTGGCACGGTCCGTCAGCGAATATATACTTCAAGAGTGCTCAATAGCATTAAAGCGGCCGCTATATCGAACATAATTGACGGTATAGGATGAACAACAGAGGGCCACGGTTCCTAAAGATAACCAACATACTTAACGTGCATGAAGGGCACCTTCGATCTCATCGCGAGTCTCTCTACTCTCGTCAGACTGTGCCATATGGCATGGTTTGGGCCTTAACCGGCAGGACAGTCCGGTGCGCCCTCTCGGCGTTTTCTAGCAATACAGGCCAGAACGTCCAGCCAATGTCCACTCTAGTGCAATCAGGAGACCGATCCATTAATTCACGTGGGTGCCTGTGCCTATGTCAGGTGTACTTGTAAAGAATTATCATGCACAAGGAGTGCGAAATCATTGAGATATTGGTACAATTGCCTCGGCAGTTTGGGCGCTTTGCCGGCGTCGGCGTTTCGTTTCGGCTCGGTGCTTTGGCATCTTCTAATAACCTTGGGAGAAAGAGACGAGACGGAGGACACGCCATGTAGAACGGTGTGCACCCGTTCAAAATTCTTCAGAGGCATCTATGTGTTGCGGATAACTCGACTTTCCGAGAGAGAGGAAGAGAGGAAGAAAGAGGAATACGAAAATGACGACTACGCCGAGCACCACCGCGCTGGCCAACTTCATCTGGGGTGACGAGCGGCTCAAACGGCGGTGCGACATCCTCGCCGCCATCTCCAGCAACCCCGTCTTCACCCAGACACCGAACCCGCATGCCCTGTCGAGGAAGGATCTCTGGACGCTGCGGCTCAAGCAGGGCGTCGAGCTGCTCGAGCTCAAGTTCAAGCTCGGATGGTCAAATCAGCAGTTCGTTGATGCCACCAAGATCGCAGGGGACATCCTCTCCCTGGGGGTGAATTTTCGGAGTAAGTGCTAACGGACTGATATCCGATGAATATCTAAAAGGCTCTCGAAAAGAAGAAGGAAAAGAGCGAAGTGAAATACTGATCTCCTCGGGAAAATGATAGTATTCATCAGGAACCTAGAGGCACAGATGAGCCCCGAGCAAAAAGCGTATTGGATCCCAAGGGCCGAGAGGTTCGAGATCAGCGGATGTTATGCCCAGACCGAGTTGGGCCATGGGAGCAATGTCAGAGGCATTGAGACAACAGCGACCTTCGATCCCAAAACGGATGAAATCGTCGTCAACTCGCCCACACTGTCGAGCCACAAGTACTGGATCGGATCGCTGGGTATCGTCGCGACGCATGCCCTCGTCATTGCGCGGCTGATCGTCAAGGGAAAGGATCTGGGCAACCACGTCTTCCTCGTCCAGGTCCGCGATCTCGACACCCACGAACTTATGCCCAACGTCAAAATCTACGAGCAGGGCGAAAAGGGCATGAGCACCTTCGCGTCAATGGACAACGGCGTCATGGCCTTTACGAACTGCCGCATCCCGAGAACGAATATGCTTGCGGGCATGGTCTCTCTGGATCCGGACGGGACATACCACGCCGCGAAGAACACGAAGCACGCCTACACTTCGATGGTGATCATTCGCGGACTGATGTCCGAGGAGCTGGGCATCGAGGTGGCAAAGGCGGTGATCATCGCGTTGAAGTACGCCGAGTTCCGGAGGCAATTTAATCCCAAGAACGGACTGGAGAGGAAGGTGATTGAGTATGCGAGCGTGCAGAATAGGCTGTTCCCTGCGTTGGCCCGGGTGAGTTAAAGAACCTAGATAATACCTTACTGTGGACATCATCGCTGATCCGCGCGTGCAGGTAGTAGCGATGATGCTGCTCGGTCGGGAAATGAGAGCCCGCATTGACAACATCGTCAATGAGAGCATTGAAGATCTCCATCTGCAGACAGTCGGCGCAAAGATCTGGGCAAGTGAGCATGGCGTCCGAGATGTGGAAGTTGCCCGTCTCAGCTGCGGCGGGCATGGTAAGTTCGATCTCTTTCACCGACCGCATTAAAAAGATAGAACATCAGAATGCTGAGAGCAAGTATCAGGAAACATGGCAAGCACGGGACTCGGGTCTCTCTACGCACAACTTTCTCCATCCAGGACATATGAAGGCGAGACATACGTTCTCTCCCAGCAGATCGGGAACGCCGTTGTGAAGCATTGGAAAAAGTCTGTCCGCATCCTTGTCAGTGTCTGAATCTGCGTGCCCATGCGACTAACCCTTTCGAGCGCAGCAAATCCGAACAATCGATCAGCGCCCTGTCATACCTCGCACGTCTGAGAGACGGCGGAAGAATGTCCCAAAAGCTACAAGTCGCCGGCTCGGACGATTGGTTCAGTCCGCCGGTCCAAGAAGACTTCCTCGAGCACCGAGCAGCGGTTCTTGCTCGACGACATCTCGGCGATGTCGCTAGGGGGAAAGACACCAGCTACGACGTCTTCGAGCTGACCATGGCGCACGCGGATCTCACGTATTGGCGAGGGTTGCAGGCGCAGGTGAAGCAGAGCGCACAGCATGACAGGGAGACCATGGAGGCATTGGCGAACGTGGTAAGTTTTGCTCTGTCAAAGTTTAACAATCCCCCTTTCTATCTCAGCGCGAAGCCCTGACGGATGATGCGACCCCTACAGTTTGCCCTCAACGCCATGGTCGAAGGCCTCGCCGCTTTCGCGGGCGAGGAATATCTGTCCGCCGAACATGTCGCGAGTCTGCGCCTCGCGTACCAGCATGCCATTTCCGACTTCGCCACTCACGCCCACGCACTGGTCGAGGCGTTCGGATTCACCGAGTACGAGCTCAACAGCGTCTTTGCTCAGTCTGGTCAGACGCCCTACGAGGGATTATTGGATGTGGCCAAACAGAGCGAGTTGACGGACAATGTCTTCATTCGGCCGACGCTGCTGAGGGCACGGAGTCTGTGGAAGAAGTATGGCCGGGCGAAGATATAGGTATATAGGTATAGGTTCATCGGGATGACAAGTCAACCCATAGAATGTCATGTGGAGATTCTCATTCATTGTCTTATCCAAATCTTCACAGGCATATGTGTCACTCAGCACAGATTTACAAGCCTGCTCCTCGTCTCCCCAGCCATCCAACGACCACTGGCCAAGACAGGATCAACATAGGCGTGCCCCACAAGTTTGTAGATATCTTCGCCGTGTTGCTGGGAGAGCTCAGCTGACTTGCGGAGTATGGCCTGGAGCGTACAGCCCTCCAAATGCCAGACGGAGTCGTCTGGCTGGGAGTCTCTGTGTGCCCATCCCAGAAGAGCCTGGTCCTGGATGAACATCAGACGCAGGTGTTCGTCGAGGATAGACGAGACGGACTGCAGCATTGAATACAGAGGGTGCTCGCCCCTCCGACTGATCGTATTGTCCTCGCTCAAGCTGAAGAATTCTCTCCACTCCGGCAGGACCTTCGATGACGGGCTCAGGCCACCTCCACGACGGCGAGGGATGAATGCGTATTCGTCAGAGCTGGGGACCATCCTCACGCCGAATTTGTTCAGGAAGTCCGCGTGGCAGTGGAGCCATTGTTTGACCCCTAGGGTGCCTCTGTCCTGAAAGACATGGTCCGGCATTGAGAAGAGGAGTGAGAAGAAGGCGGAGGATGGCTGAAGACCGAATGTCTGATTGTGGCAGATCAGCAGCAGCCGACGGAATGCCTTCCCAATATCCGGGTCCGTGATATCTGTCGTAGAAAATCGATCGCTGAACCTCGACTCTGGAATGTCTTCGTCCACCAAAGTGCCCAAGGCCGAGATTCGGCCTATACACCTGCCTTTCAGTGTGAGTTTGTCACCGCTGATGCGGAAGGTGTCTGGAATAACTTCGTTCATGTTCGGGGATTCCTGGCCAAAGGCCCTTCTCTTCTCCCACCCCAGATTGACATCTCTCCCGCATATGTACGGAATCAAATTCCTGTCGAATTGGTGCGGTCGAAAGTGGAAGTAGTCAGGACACCATGAAGGCAACCCTCTCTGTCGGTCGTCCACACTCCTGAGGAATATGATGTCTGCAGAGCTGTACCAATTGATGTGATTGGACGTCATCTCTAGGCAAAGGTCGTCCTCCGAGACCGCCTGCGAGTAGTTGGGCTCTTGCACGAAATCAGCCCAATCTGACGCAAGGCCTAGGAGTCCATAAACTTTGTCTCTTAACACGCTCGTCTCGGACAAGCTCGTCATGGCCAAAATATCCATCAACCGTGGCTTCTGCTGTGCTCGGCAGGCAGCTCGAACAGATATAACCTTCTGAGCCGGTCCAGGAGGGTCTCCGTCTTTGTCGGTCCAACGGCCTCTTTCGCGCAGTAGTATTTCCAGGGATCGCAAGTCAAAGATGTAAGAACCCCAGAATATCTGTGCTCTTTTTGCTGCTGCTACCTCTTGAATGATCCATACTCGATGCCAGTATCTCTGTGACAATAATCGTTCAAGGGCATCCATGTGGGAATCAAGATTGCCATTCTGATGGTGTTTATTGGCCGGCCTCTCAAGGCCCTCGGTCGCCCTTAGAAGTTTTTGCATGTCTTTCTCCGGTCCGGTATCAGCACCAAGCCAAATGACCACCATTTTTGCCATTCTATAAATCGCAAACATTCTGATTATTTCTCGGCTTTTCTCGATGGTGTCTCGTTGATTGATGCAGATGGCATCGACCCAGACAGTGGAAAGTTTGTTTCGCTTCAGCTTGCGAAGAGCATCTGCAAGGTTTTGGGAGACTTCATACCTGTGGTCGCTCACTAGTATGCTTACTCTCCCGTGAGCAGCATCCTGTCCCCATGAGTACGACAACGCCACATAGTCGGGTCTCTGGCTCAGTTTCGCGTGGAAAAGCTCGAACTGGAGAGTTCGACCGTCAGAGACGTCCTCATCCAAGAACTTGAGCAACCTTATCTGGCCTTCCGCCAAAGGTTTGTAAGGCAAGACTGCAGAGGATGTTTGCGAAACCGTAACAGAATTTTGTCTTGATTCATCGGGAGACATTGAAGGTCTAGCTTCTGTTCGCACGCAGGAGGGACGAAGCAAATTCATGATATTTGAGTAGCGCATAAACAGCATGGAGCCCCCAAATATGGAAGCAAGCAGAAACACAGATCTTGACGCAGTGACTCGACAGGTCCCCAAGAATGTGATGCTCGAAAAGATGACCGTCAGGTACAGACCGATCCTTTCGCCCCTGCCTATCGATTTCCGAGCACCCTGCGTCCTTAATAGGAAGCATTGTGTGATTACCAGCGCTGCCGAACTACCGGCAACCAGTAATTGAGGAATCATCCCATTCCGTTTGCGTTGACAAAGGCCTCGAAAGGGACGGGAATGTTGTAGTGGTCAATCGTACGCCACCCAAGTCTCCCCAAGTCAGACTGGGCCGTCCGAGTTGCCATTGATGGCTCCCGAGAGGTGACGGACTTGCAAAGGAAGTCTATAACAAAGAAAGCTCACGTAGCTTTCTCTGTCATTTCCAGGCGAGTGACAGAGTTGATGGAAGAAAAGAAGCGGCTCACACAAATTTTTGTGGCGGCCTCGAGGTGCGGATCTGCCCCACCGTAGAATGACTACGGTGAAGTATACTATCACGTAAATGCTCGCTCTTGCTCCACCGGTTTGACATCTACGTCTTCTTCTCTGATCACTTTTCTCAACAGGTTGTCTTCGTCGATCAAAGATATTGAAAACGTGCCTGCTGCTCTTTTCCAGAAGAAGAAAGTATTTCCCAACCCACAAGACCTCACTGACCCTACGGATACTTTGTCAGGAACAAAAAGGAATCCGCCTCTCCACCGTCCCGACTACTCGGTTAAGTCTCAACAATGAATGGAACCAATCTCTGTCTTACAACATCACACGTGATGGGCCAACCCGGCTTTCTACCTAGTGCCTCTGGTTCCAAATTTTTCGAGAGAAGATTCGATGCATCAGCAACATGCGATGAAGGAGCAGGGTAAGCTCCTGGTCCGCAGCTACAAAACCCAGACCAAGGAACGTCCAGCGACCGAATGATGGCACTATCGAAAGCTCCTTACAACCTTCAGAACATCAGGAACGTACAATAATTTCAGACATGATGTGTATGATGAGAAAGTCTTTATTCCTGCTCTCTGGCGCTTGGCTGGTAGCAACAGCTCTCGCGGCCAACCTGACTGTCTACCAGTCCAATGTCTCTTTCGTCCCAGTCCCGCTTCCTGTACCAGGTGGCGCTGCAAACTTCGAGGCTATCATCGAACAATTCACCACTCTAGGTCGCACCACAGTTTGGCGCTCGGTTAAAAACATCACCTTTCAAGGTGATACCGGCGAGCCTGAGGGCATGGTGGTCATCAACGAAGAGAGATTTATCACCGCTCGTGGAGACTGGACCGTCCCTACCACTTCGTACAATGGCACCATCATAAATGGCACAGATCGCACCCCAGGAGCCGGATATGGACACATTGAGATTTACGATGGCCAGGGCAAACGAGTAGTCGATGCGACACTGACTCCTCCCGGTGATATTGAATACCACATCGGTGGTCTTGACTACGATGGCCAATACATCTGGGCCACTCTCGCACAGTATCGCCCAAATACCACTGCCACAATCATCGCTGTCAACCCTCTCACTCTGGAGTACCAATCCTTGATCCACTACGCCGACCACCTTGGGGGCATTGTGCACGACACCAAACGCCAAAGACTGAACACATTGAACTGGGGTTCACGGAACGCTTCAATCTGGAACCTCAACGCTACTTCCAACAAGCCCTACCCGACTTTCTCGCAACCCTCCTCCGTTGCCCGTAACCCCTCGTTCTACGTGGACTACCAAGACTGCAAGTTCCTGGGTCACTCCAAACAGTACGACTACCGAGCGGTTATGATCTGCTCGGGAGTCGCCACGTTGGCCGGCAACATCACAATCGGCGGCCTGGCCCTTGTCGATTTCGAAACCATGATCCCGCTCTACGAGGTCCCGCTGACCATGACATCTGTCCGGGGGACGCCCCTCACGCAGAACCCTTTTGACGTTGCGTACGTGAATGAGACATTGAGGTTCTATTTCCTGCCGGACCAGCATAACTCCACGCTGTACATTTACGAGCCGCTGAGAAATAGTCCGTATGAATATTAAGGAGTCACCACGTAGTGAATAGACAGGTGGGGAGACAGACACATGGTTCGTGGTGGTAATATTGATGAGGACAACGACAATAGACGATACGCAATGAGGAATGGACCAACCGAAGCTCAAACACAAGCTTGTCGAGAGTGAATATCTCGAACTGGACTACCTACACATCCTAGTGAGGGAGTGTAGCAGGTCAGGAATCTATACGGAGTACATACCTACCGTAGCCGTCAAGCTGTACATAGATATCATGCAAGACACGAGCGAAATCAGTAATGACCCAATCTACCTCGTACCGTACTGGATATAGAGGTGGACAGCTCACGTTTTATATATTATGCAAGCATTCCATCTGAAACGTACTCAATTCTCGGCTTATACACGTGCTACCTCATCTTGGAGGGTATATATCTGGTGGGTATCACATCGAACAACATCCTTAGACACCCGATTCGAGCTTAATACTCGGGACGGATAACCACGACAAGTGCCTAGCAAAAAAAAGTCCAACCAATAACGCTAAACTCCTCGCTGGTAAACAAGAGATTTCAAACATCGATGCCAGAGATTTTCGAACGATCATGATCGTTCGTGAGAATACGAGATCACATATTCTCCGTAAACCGCCCGGCACTCCGTCCACTGCTCCTGCTTACTCGGCTTCCGTCCTGGCTAGCCAAGCTGCGACCGACTCCATCTCGCAGCATCGGCGGCAACGGAGGAGCATCTTCATCCATGCTTGGTGGCTGTTGGATTGGTAACCTGATGGAGCTCGCAGCGGGACTGAGAGTGACCGGAGTTCGGGCGGGACTGGGCCGCATAATTGCAAACCCTTCTGGTCGGCTGGGTGTGGTTAAGGATATCTGGCTGCTATTGAGCACTGATGGCGCATGCGGCTCTGCAAAGTCTCTCGTACTCGACGCGGTTTCAGCAGGAGTGGACAAGTCCCCCGTCCTAGCATTCGTGGTGGCGGTTGTTGGCGAAGAAGGCATCTGTGGTGGTGTTGGTGTGCCCTTCCCGCCGTAGAAGCCCCGGTTGTCCTGATAGAACGAAGCCCCCGAAAGCCCTCTTTCAGGGATCTGTGTCGCGTCCGAGGGACCTATACCAGCGTCCTTCTCGAAAGCACCAAAGTTGCCCCCGTAGGGGTCACCCCCGCTGCTCAACACAGGGGCGATCTTGCGACCGGCGATACGTTGAAAGCCCCGTTCCGATTCTGGGACGCTGGTGTCCGTGGTACCAGTGCCGGTAGTGCCTAGGGTTTGACTACTGCGAGGTCGAAGACGCTTCAGCCCGTGGGCCACAGCAGCTGTGAGAGGGGTGGTTGAGGATCGCTGCGACATGGGGTATGCCTCACCACCGCCCCTGCCACCGCCGGTCGTTAGCTCACGAGCGGCAATTTGCTCAGGAAGTAGGCCTCGTGACTTTAGTCGACGGCGGTACCAGCGAAGGAGAAAAAGGATGATGACTAGCGTAAGTGCAACGCCAGCCACACCTCCAACAACACCTCCCACCACTTGCTGCTGAGTTGGTGTCAGACCAGGACTTCCGCCTCCGCCTCCGCCACTACCCGAACTTGATCCAGCACTCGATGTAGCTGCTGAATCGGTTGTGGCTGTCGAAGAACCAGCCGCGCCTGAGCCGGGTCCATCAGTGAAGTAACCCGACGAAGCACCGGCCGAACCGGATGTAGGGCTGTCAGACGATGATGTAGATGTCGGGGTGAGGTCGCCAAAGTAAAAGGTCTTCGAAGTGCCGCTGCTGGTCCCAGTAGTGCCCACGTTGGTCCTGCTTGTGGAACTTGCGCCGAAACGTGAGTCTGTGGCAATGATGCTACCATTGATCAGCGACAACTCGAAGGTCGAAGTGGCTGTCACCGTCACAGTCCGTTCCGTCGTCCTAGTCGTATCCACGAACGTTGTTGTACCATTTATAGGCCCAGAACTGAATATGGAGGTAATCGTTGATGTATCCAAAGATGTTGGTGGAGTAGTGATCGTTTCGGATGAGTCTGTGGAGCTTCCCTGGACGCTGGTGCTATTTAAGATTCCAGGTATAGTTACTGAGACCGCAGTAGTCAGTGTGCCAACCTCTGATAAGGAAACAACAGTGCCAGTTGTAGCCACAGTGACTTCGGTAATTTTCGAGGTACTCGTGCCGTCGTTTACATTGACTTGCACCACGCTGGCTGTAACAGTAGCATCAGGAGCTCTGGGTAATAAGTAGATTCCAGCATTTCTGCGAGGTAGAATAGGTCGAGGGGCGTGCTGGTAGCTGCCGAACACATTTTGTCTCTGAAAATCCGACAAGCTAATGGTCCGAGTCGGCTGAACATTGTGGTCTGTGTCATCACCCCTCATACCGAGTTCTGAGGTAAACAGCCCTTCCGTCATTCTTGAACCTGTGTCCCGCGGGTTTCGTACATCAGGGTCCATAATCTTCAGTCGCTTCGCAGGCCTCTCCATTGTGGGAATGCTTATAGGAGATGCATGAAATGCAATGAGTTGGGCACTTGCTTAGGGAGACCCAAAAAAAACGACTGTCTGAGATTGACCTTTTGTCGACACGCACGCCTGCCGTACTCTTTCAGTCTTGAGATTCGTAGATTGTATGTAGCGATCGTCTTGAAGCTTAGAGCGAAGGTTTCTCTATCCCGGGTGAACGAGGGTGCGGTTAGGAGATGTGTGGAATTTGTAGTCCGAGGATGTTCAAACGAATGATTATAACGAGTGGCAGCTGGCAAACAGCGCAGCGAGAGCGAAAGAGGGCAGACTCAGGGTTCTGTCGAAAGGCGGGAGGTGTCAGAGAATCTGAGACATGGGTATGAGGAGGCGGAGAGGGCTATGCACCTCGACAGGCTATTCCATGTTGAAGACGGTATATGGCCGATATAATTTGACAATAACACTGCTGTTGGATTCGATGGGCAAAAAAGCAATGAACAAGCAGCCACCGCAACGCGGTTTGAATCGATATGGAATGAATTGTGCCTGGTTGCGTTGCGAATCGATTGGAAGCGAGGGGGAGCTCCTTTTTTTTTCCCTCTCTTCCTGTCCTTATCCCAGCCCGAAGGAGCAAACAAGCAGTATTATCGTATAGTCAAAGGAAACTCGACAGGGGGTGTTGGTACGTGTTAGCGAATGCGAGGATAGACAAAGAACCTGATGATATTATTGAAAGACTGTTCGAACAACGAGCGAGCGATCGACTGAGCAGAGGAAAAGAGAGTGTGCACTGATGGAACGGTGGTGAAGCAAGGGAGAAAGACGAGGGCAGGGGGAGAGAAGCACGAGTGTTGGAGCTGGCGAGCTGAAGCGCAGCTAGCAGCCAAAAAGTCATGCAAGTCTCAAAACGGTCGAGGAATTGCTCCGTAGGGTGCGCAAGGGTGCGCAAGAGTGCGTAAGGGTCACCATGGGTCGCCGCCCCAAAGTCCGTAGTGGGGACCTTAATTGGGCATGGAAGACATATCCAGGCGCCTCAGTGGTAGCTCGACACCACTACCATCCGCTGCAGGAGCTTAGCTGGGCTATAGCCCATGCCGGGGTGGTCTTAAGCGCATCGGTTCCTGCGTCTGGCGCAAACCTTAGCCTTGGGGCTTTTCTAGTAGGTGTCTAGTGCCCTCCCCGGAGATGAGGAGTCCGAGGCTCACCAGGCACAGCAAATCAACAACCCACTTGTTGAAATTTGGTCATCAAAATTCCCCATCCACACCATCCACCAGCAATCTTCCCAGAGCAATGATATTGTCCACACGACATCCGATCTTGCAGTGTGCTTGTCCGAACAATGAGATCCTGTCGAATCATGCCTGTGCTCAGCTTCTGCGGTTCTTGGGATGCCCGACCTCCAGCTGCGATGCCTGCCTGCCGGGATTATTTGGATGTTTTCTTTCCAGTCAAAGTGGATGGTACTCTCGCTCAGAGCCTCATCTCCAGTTCCCCATATTCGTTTGATTTGCTAACGGAACGAGACATTTCTGGCCAGGATGACCTGGTCGCCTGCTGGTCTTAATAGCGGCTACCGTTGCGCTACGCAAGGCCAGAAGATCATCAACTTCGGACGCACGCCGTCAATCTCTCTGTTTCGTATTCGGCACATAGAAACCCAGTCGGCACACGAGCAAGTCTTCGAGGAGGCCTTCTTCTATTCAAGAGGCTGGAGAAGATTCTGGTCGAAAACAAAACCATAGGCGTTGCACAGCATCCTCCACGCGCCGAAGCTGCACCTCTGCGATTCTGACCGAGAAACCAGCCACTGCATGGTTTTGTACCAGCAGCTCCCATATGACAGGAGAACGCTTGATCGCTTAAGTTGTTACGAAGCTCGAAGAAGAATAGATAGTCCGAAAATGTCTTTCCGGGGACTCACCGCCCGGTGCACCAATTATAGCTATAATGTATTGTGACATCCAGCAATGGTATGAGGGCCAAGTCACTCCATTTTGCATTTGCTAACCCGAACCGGTTCTCGATAGACAGCCACCTGCGTTGTCCAAGTACCTCCACAGCACGGAGTGCTCCACGGTACGGAATACATGGGACTATCAACTGGTCAATCAAACTTCTCTGCTGCCTGTTCTACGACTGCTTCTTGCTCCGCGAGGACTTGGCAATCAACATTCTCATCGCGAATATGGATCAATCCTCAGAGTTCATGCTGTGGGGTGAATCAGTCGGTCAAAGGCGGAGCCTTCACCAAGGCACTCGCCTGATGAGAACCGACTTCAGGTTCCGTGAAAGCCCTCAGCGCGCAATTAGACAATCAGTGCCACTGTCTGTTCCAAACTCTCTCGTTGAGTCTGAGGCGTTATCCATGTCACTTCATACTCGCCTATTTCTCGACGAAGGCCGGCTTGCTTCATCCATCCAGGAAGCACCTGCATGTTCATCTTCAGGCTAGAGGTAGTAACCTGGCCACATCCAGCTAATACTATAGGACATAACTTACCACATTGACGCAGCTGACATGTACCGCACCGGACTACATTGCTGTGCATGATCGAGATCTCGGGTGAAGATAACGTTCATGAGCCCGAACCCAATGTGAATTCATTCACCGAATGGCGTCCTGTTTCGTCTTGATTGTGAGGATAATGAAAACTGGCCCGAACAAACCCCCATCAAGATTTGGGCACCAAGCCTTGGGTTTCGGAACACGGTTCGCTCTATGAAGCAACCTTTGTCGCCAGATTGGTCCGCCTACCACAAGTCCGGCTTCTTCTCCAGCACGGGCGACCATGGACTTGACTCTGTCGAGTGAGGCTAGTCTGTGAGAGACTCTTTTGCCCCATTGGGATCTAACGAGTTGCCTAGCTTCTGAGATGCCGCATCCTTTCAACGTCCAACAAAGGAAGCTGCCACGTAGCCCTACCTGGAGAGGGCCAGGAGGTCATTTATTGTCCGGTCCGCCATTGACGTTTTCCCGTTGTTTAGTAACTGATCGACTCATCAGTTTGACAGTGCTGCCCAGGTTATCATCCCCGAACACTATCGCAGGAACCTTCCACCTAAAATGTTGTCTCAGTTAGGTTCTGGGTGGCCGCGGAAAGCGAGACTGACATAGCTAATTCAAACTTCAACCGGTTTAAGTTGCCTTCCCCAGCAATCACCTGGATTCACTTCCCGGTTGACACACTTCTGATGGAGCTAATCTGCCCAGTCAACAAGGTAAATGAGTCTGCATGGTGAAGACAACTTAGGGTATGACTCACCATCCTTATCCATATATGATTTGCATGTTCCTGTCAAACCGTCTCCTGGAAGAATCTGGAAATCGCCCTTGAGGAAGCCGGCTTTCTCGAACAGCGGCCCCAATGCTAGTCCGCCGAGAGGAGATTTCTTGTACGGTTCGGCAATGATCAGGTTCATTGTCATCAGAGCAGCGGCGGCTTTCACGATGAGCGTGGCGGCAGGTACGTTGTAGGGGCAAATTGCTACACAGACTATGCCTTCAAAGCATCAGCAAAGCCGATCCAGAACCGCTAAGGCACCTGGAAGCAGCTTCAGCATAAGGGATGGCGAGATCCACATCCTCTTTGCGCGCACTGAGGACATTCTGCGTCACAATGTGTTATCCTCGGGGCCCCGAAGTAGAAGAGTCCTTTCGAGGACGACTTTACATATTACTCCCTTCCGGATAGAGCTCGTCGAACGAAGTTGGACCATTGTTGCTCGAATTCAAGCTCCCGGGGAAAACGTCGACCGCCAATCAGAGGGCTAACCACAACACCTTCGATTCAAATGGAATTGCAAACGTGCCCATTCATTGAAGGTGCGAGCTGCAACAACTTATCCTGTTCAACTTGGACATGCTGGTCGTTGGGGAAGAGTTTTGTCAGCGGAAGGATCCTCGTACTCCCGTCCGCAACTTCAAATACCCAGGCACCGAACATCGGAGTAACAGAGGAGAAGCTGCTGCCCACCCACCTTTGCGCGAGGGGGCAAGACTGCCAACAAACTGCCGTGTTTTGAGCTTTGGAAGCAGCAGAATGCGGGAACTACGTTAAGATCTTATTAGTCTTTGGATGCTGTGAACCTCGGGTCGATTCGCACCGTGCGGGGATGTCGACTCCTGCATGCCATCCGCGATGATTCAAATGAGCACTCGCTCTCGATGACTTGGTGACGCTATATTCTTCTCTTATGGGCGGGTTCCGTGAGGGACAACCAAGGGACGAGTGAAGCCGAGTCGAGACCATGGCAGCAGCAGCCGGGGATTTATTCTCCACCATCGACGGGACCAAACTTGGTCAAATCGAAGTGGTGGTAAACGGAAATCCTGAATTCAAAGCCTCCGTAAACAAAGTCGACAATGTCCGCTTCGGCGTGCGCGCAGCAGACTCTGGCAACAGGCTTCTCTTCAGCATTCAACAAGGGAAGGTCACAGCCCAGCAAGGCTCGACGACTGACTGCGCACCTCAATTCGACCTCAACGCACAATCATCACATTGGCAGGAAGTTTTCGCCGCTATCCCAAAACGTCCCTTCCAGTCATACTGGGGAATGCTCCGGCTGCTGGGTCAGAGCTCTGGAGTTGAAGTTACAGGCGACAAGGAAGCCTTCACCAAACATGCTCGGTTGTGGAGGATCGTCTTAGACTGCATTCGAGACGCACTGCACCCCCCGCCTGCTACGTCGGCTCAAGAGGAATACATTCCTGACGATGTGCTCGACGACGACTCGATCGTAGGCCACTACACCTGGCTCACCCTGGCACCAGTGGGGAAATGCAAGATCTTTTACGAGACCTCGGGCTCAGGCGAACAGCAGGTTCTTTTCCTTCACACAGCGGGGGCCGACTCTCGACAGTACCACTCCCTCATGCTCAACAAAGCCCTCCAACGCAGATGCACCATGTACGCCTTCGACCTACCCGGCCACGGCCGTTCATTTCCGGGCACCCATCAATACCCTCAATCGTACGCGAACAGCGAGGACTTCTACATCTCAGCCATCCACCAGATGATCGTGAAACTCAAGCTCAAGCGCGTCATCGTCTCCGGCGCCAGCATGGGCGGCCAGGTCTGTCTCGCAGTGGCGTTGCGCGCGAAGGAGATGGACGTCCGGGGAGTGATCCCCTGCGAAGCATGCGACTACCTGCCGGCGCAGCAGGCGTCGGCGATCTACTCGCTGCAGGGTGATGAGGCGATCCTCAACGCCGAGCGCGTGTGCGGCATGATGTCACCCAGCTCGCCCGCCCTCTACAAGCGGCTCAATTGGTGGCTGTACTCGGCGCAGGCCTCACAGATTTTTCCCGGGGATCTGAAATTCTACTTCGAGGGCTGGGACGGCCGCGACCGCATGGCCCTCATCGACACCGCCCTCTGTCCCGTGTACATGTTGACGGGCGAGTATGACTATAGCTGTTCACCCGAGACGAGCCGGCGCACGGCCGACAAGATCAAGGGCGCCATCTTTGAAGAGATGAAAGGCCTAGGCCATTTCCCGTTCAGTGAGGACCCCGAGCAGTTTTTGCCCTACTTTATAAAGGCTCTGGACCATATAGAAAAGAATGGTGATCAGAAATGAAAACTGGGCATGAGGTCGTACAGTATTTATATATATATGCTATATTTAACAAACTAGTTCCAATTTTGGAACACATAAACAAGTCAGAAAGGTTCGAGAGCCGGACGCACATATACGAGAACATCCAATTCTCTCTCTCGGGTCATCCACATTTAATATACGTCGCACATAAGGAAGTTGAAAGAAAATCCCACAGAAAAATCCCACAGGGGTTAGGGTAGTCACTTTACTCGCGCACCCCCGATCATGGGTCTTTTCCATTCCCTCGTTGTTTCCAAATTGATCTTTCTACCACATACATACTCTCACGACGGAATCGCCGCCTGAGCGGCCCTCAAGCCGCCTACAACGGTGAAACTCAAGATCGGAGAGATGAGGTAGGAGATCTATCGTGCCACTCTTGTCAGTTTAAAAAGGTCAGACATGCAGAGGGGTCTGTTCCATAAGAATGAAACGGCAGAATAGCAGCGCATGCAGGGTCAGTACTCACAGTCAGCAGTTTCGCGATGTTGCGCTCGTCCTCCTCCTCCGCGTCGCTGACCTGGACGAGCGTGATCAATTTCATCGCTGGAGGACCGGTTGGCTATAGGAGTAAGATACCGCGGTTAGCTTATTCCTCCACACCAAACGGGACGCGGGTTGGTTCTGGTTTTCAAGCAAGACCAGAGAGGGTTGGAGGTGCGTGCGCTCACCATCAGCATCATCGCGAACCACAACATCGGATCAGGCCCCAGCACGGTCGACTTCGAAGCAACCAAGAAAATGAAGTAGATGGATGCCACGGGCCACACGACAAACCGCATCAGCATTATGAACGTCACAGTCAGCCACGGCATTGGCTGGGTCTTCTGTCCCTCGGCCGATGCTTTCCTGGCTTCTTGCATGGCCGTGTAGAGGCTCACACCGGCCACGACTACGGGCAAGGGGACAAATAGGCCGCCAATGTTCTTAAGGGAGGCGGTTAACCACGCCGTGAAAATGCCGCCTTCGTAGGTGTCGTTGAAGAAGGAGCGATGAAGGGCGGGGATCAAGCCGATGATGACACCGACAATGGCTCCGAGAAGGGGCGCGTTGAAGAAATCCGAAATGAACAGCAGCCACCACTTTGCACGGGGACCGAGCTTGTACCACTGCTTCTTTGGCACAATCGATGGCCGGCGCTTTAGCTGCGCAGCCAACGAGGGTCGACGAGAAGGTTGGGGTGGACGTCCCGCCGTTGACGAGCGTCGCGTCGAGGGGAAAAAAGAGTTTTCCGCGTAGCTGGCGATGTTTGCGAAGGAGACGGTCGATTGCCGATGCGGGAAGGTGTATGACTCGGGACTCTGCAGCAAACCCGTCTCCTCGTTGGCATCGGCGTCCTCTGCATCGCGATACTGCCGCTCGACAGCGTCGAAAGGCTCATCTTGCTCTGAAGCGTCCTCCTTCGACTCCTCCTCGGGGGCATGCTCCGTATCGATCAACCTAGGCCCAACCGCGAAGGTCAAACAGCTGCTGACGGTCGCAAAGACCAAGAAGTAACTCTTGGCTCTCTCAACGGCCGCATCGGTCGTCTCGTCCGTCACGATCAGAGCACGTAAGATTCCTGTCTCATCCAAGGCCTCAATCAGGAGGAGCGGGTAAGAAGTCGTGTTGTTAAACATCAACGCCACGGTGGTCCAGTCGGGCATGCCCAGCCACAGGTGTGCGACGAGGCCGATCAAGAAGGAGATGAGGTGGCAGATGATGGCCCAGATGAAGACAATGAGATATCGGTTCGCCGACCCTGCGTGGAGCTCGGAGCCGATCTTGACGACCAGCAGGGCTGGCAGAAACATGCGCACGCATATCTTGGAGATTGCCTTTGTGTTGGCGGAATTGAGCAGCTTGAGATGGGCGGCCACACCTCCATAGAAAATGACCAGTAAGACGGAGAGCGAGGCTTGAATGGCAGCCAGGAAGGAGTCGAAGAGGCCTGTGGGCGCCATTATCCAAGTCCAGGAGGGTAGCTGACGGGAAAGCAAAGAGCGGGATTGAATGCTCTTGCTCTCTCTCGCACCGTTCACTGTCGACTGCTGCAGGACGCGAGAAAAGTGGAGAGAAGAAGCGAGGCCGCCGAAGCTCAATTATTCTCGGCTGCCGAAGCTTGAACAGTCCTGAACAATAAAAGCGCGCAGAAGCAACGCCGAAACTAGACTCGATCTGGTGGTGCTGGATGTGCGGCTGCGAGCACGTCATAAGAGCTCGTCATAGCCTCACTCCCGCCGTCGCTTGAACATTTACGGAGCACCACGAATACCTCAGCCTTCTGTCTGCAAACCAAAAAAAAAAACAAATAAAAAACATATGAATATCAAAATCAGAATCAATCAGGCTGAACGTGGACACGGCGTGTTGGACAGTTCCATTCGAGACTAATCTGACATGCTTGCTTGCTTGCTTGCTCGCTTCTGGCGGGTAGTCCTCTTCCTTCACCGGAACTCGACTGATGGGAACCATTTCTTGACCCCGACCGGCTCTCGACAGTCGTGCTCCCCGCAACCACAAGGCTGGGGTTGTGACATGGTTGTGCCCTCAGGTAACATCTTGATGGTCTGATAGGGTTGGGATCCAGGGTCGTAGTACAGCCCGTCAATCTCTCCCGTCAGGCGGTTCAGGGCGATATAATAGAAGCCTGCAATTGTCAACCCCCACGATGTAGATCCATGGCCGTTTCCACCAGATCTACGCTCCGTGAAGATGGTCCTCGTCGAGCTTGTATTCGTAGGACTCCCCGGAAGTGTTACAAAACATCGTTCCTTCCACCGCATCAGAATCCACTCCTTTCCCAGCTTTTCTTCGATCCACTTTGCACTCCCCAGGCTGCGAGCCATGATCTCATCACCCTCCGCTTCTTTGTCCTCCAGAGTCTCGAAAACCTTCATGGGTGACTCGTCAATTGTGATGTTGTCGTCCGTTGACGGTGTGGGCGCATTTGACGTGCCTTGCGAATCCTTATTCTCACCATCAGCACCAGCAGCTTTCCGTAGTGCCTCCCAAAGTGAGCTGCTTTGTTGATACTCGCTTCGCTTCTTCCCCCGCAAATGTCGGATTCGCTCAATCTCCTTCCTGAAAGGTCCCAGCCGTTCCCAGTACCGTGCATCCACGTCCAGGCCACCCACTTCATAGTCTCGACCTTCTTTCTCCGTCTCCAAGGGCTGTTGTCGGAAATCAATGATCTCTCCCGTGAAAAAGCTCGACATACTGGCGGTCGCGCCCTGCTGTGGAGAAGCGGACTGCTGCATGGAGAAGAGCTTTTCCGGCATTTGGCTTGCAGACATTATTCCAGTTACTGTCATGGCGTCCCAATCTACAGAATGAATCGTCACTTTGACCGGCCAGTGATCAGGCTCCGTAGACTGAGAAGAAGTCTGCGTAGGATGCGACAATAACGATGTGGGTGAACGCTGGGAGAACCCCCATCGACCATTGCTGTCCTGTAATAAGTCGGAAAGGTAGCGCTCTGCATCAAGCAGGGAGTCTGTGGGAGGCTCGGCAGCTTCTTCACCGGGGATGACGCTCTGAGATATTACCCTCCGTCGAGCGATGGTCCTGCGAATCAGCTCGCGTTGTCTGTGGCGCCGAAGCGTAGTAGCAGAGCCGCGGGGAGGTTCGCGTTCGGTGGACTGCAGACCATGCCAAACCATTCCGGCTTGTAACCAAGAACTGTACTGTGGGACCGGAAGACTGTTGATGTGCATGGGAAGGTCACTGGGCGCGTAAGAGTCGTCTGACGCGTACAACGAGTCGAGACCCAATTCTCTGGCTGCTTCAAGACCACCTTCTACACCAGTATGTCTTAACTGTGACAGATACCGAATCAGTTTCCTCACCCGCTTGAATGCGTCGGATCGTTGGGAACTGATTGACGCCGCAAAGAGAGGTTCTGTAGGCTCTCGAACGTTTTGGGCATGCCTGGGAGGATGCTCTCTTCGATAACGGTTGGAGGAATACCCTGATACGCCAGGTATTGAGGTAGTCGAGTCGTCATCCGCTTCTTCGTTCCAGAAGGCTCGCAAGGCACTGGCTGTGGGCACCGCTCCCAGGTCGGAGCTCCTGGTCGACCTCATAGCACTGCGAGCTGATCTATAACCCTGCAGAACCCTTTCAAGGCGTAGAAAGTCCCTCCTTGCATTGGTGTCAGTTGTACGAGCTGCTCCAACCCCCATAGCTTCAATATCGCCATCGCTGTCGTCACCAGCACGCGCTGGTGGACTTGTCCAGTTGCGGCCGTTGAATCGTTCTCTAGCTGCCGCTTCGGCCCTTTGAGTCTGCATGGTAGCCCGTAGTTGACTCTCAGCATTCCACTCTCGAAGCTCTTCTGGCGTGAGACTAAATCCAAACCCATCACCCTCGTTGTCTTCAGCCGGTGGGCGATTGGCCCATTGCTGATTCTGCGAACGAGGATCGGTCGAAGTGAGATTCAGGGTAGAGGCGAGGTCGGGAACAGGAGTGGCAATGGCCTCTTCGAGTTGTCGCAGGTAGGTATGGGGAGGCGGAGTCGAGGGGCGGGTGTCCTGCAGGTAACCGTCGTCAGTCAAGGAGCAGGCTGGCTAGACGAGCGCGGCTACTTCACAATAACAAAGGCGGGTATAGCAACAATGCTGTCTTGTCTGTGAGGGTCTTTGGAGACCAGGATTTTGCTTCGAACGCACTAGTGCTCTGTGTAGACGCGAGTAGGGTCGGCAGACAGGAACTTACAGAGGGTGAGTTTGCGGGGGGCATCAGGTTGAGCTGGAAGAGACCAGCTTGACGCGAAGGCAGTTGAAGCGCCACTCATCAATGTTGGCTGGGTGCCGAGGAACCTCCTCTGTTGTATTGGTGTAGAAGAGTAGAAGAAGTAATGGAAAGATCACCAACAGCAGGAGAGGATGCTCGGTCTACCGAGTAATTATTAATGGATAGACAGTGAGCTGCAGTGAGGCGAGAGTTTGGTGGTTGGCATCTCAAGCGCCTACCAACCCCTTCCCCTTCATCGTTCATCGATCTCGAGATTGCCGAGTGACGTTGCTGCCCGCCTTTGGTGCCTTTGGCCGCCCGGCAGCTAATGCATCATACTGCCGTTCTCTTTTCGTAGTTCCTTTTCCACCGATCTAGACTCCTTGGCTTCGTCTGCTTTACGGAAGTGTCTTCCTGATGGGCATGAGAATGACTACGATGATCGAGACTGGCTCATATCGCACGGTATCTTCTGGAAGCTGGGAGTAGTGATCAAAATCTCCCACGACACTTCCAAGCGGGCCATGGTATATCTGACTGCTAGAGTACGTCTATGTCCTCTCCAAGAGCCGAGCGACTAGCTGCACGAGAGGCCGCACTGTAAAATACTTCTGTGGTCGTCCCTTTCGACAATGGTACTTACTAGGTACAAACGTGCAGGTCATATCTCGCAAGGAGATCAGCGAGTTTGCAATTACGGAACATCCTGTAGAAGAATAGGAAAAAGACAATATATCAGGATCAACCGAGGATTGAATGTAAACAACAACGAGGACCAACCCTCAGATGGTTGTTCCCAGAATCCAGGATCACCAAAGACGCACCATCCAGATATCACAACCCAAGCAGAGAGCCGTACTATCCTTTGAGCTTCCGGATAAATTCAAGAAATTCGCCGATACATTGGTCGGCTTTGTCCACGTATATCTCGTGGCCTTCCCCCTCCACGATCGCCAATTTGCTACCTTGGATCTGCTGCTGTATTTCCCTCTGTTCCTCCAACTTTGTCGCAGCACTATTTGCAGGCGCGAGAATGAGGACCGGAATCTGAATCTGAGAGAGACACGGTCGGGCGTCAAGCGTGCCCAGGAACTCGGCGTAGCTGGCCAGTCCTTCACCGGAACTGATTGATATTTGATCAAGCCACCAACGATGATATCCCGGATTAGGATGGGCCATGGTCCCCGGCTGGGATTTCAGCCTGGTGGCCCATTCTCGAGACCCCAGTTTCCGACATGCTGCGGCGAAACTTTCTTCTCCGAACGCCAGGAATTTCTGCGTGCTCTCCGGCAGGTAAGCGGGAGAAGAGCAGATGGTCAGACTGTGCAGACGGTTCGGGTGCTTTACAGCCAGCATCTCCCCTAACATTCCGCTCGTGCTCTCTCCGAAGAAATGCACCTTCTCGATCCCCAGCTGGTCGAGGGTATCGATGATATCACCAAGAATAGCATCCAGCGTGTACGCGTCTGGTCTCTCGGAGATAGATGGCGCACTAGAGTACCCGTGACCGCGCAAGTCTCGACGGATCACGTTGTAGTGCCGCGAAAGAGCGGGAACCCAGTGGTAGAAGAAGGCGGCATGGCGAGCAAAGCCACCTTGAAGCAGGATCGTTTGCCGGTCTGCTCTCCAGGGATCGGTGAAGTCGTCGGCGATGTAGTGCGTTGTCTCGCCCGAGGCGTGGATGATGAATTGGCTAGTCTGTGGCATTGTGCATGCTGCAACAACAAGGACAGGCACCACGCTGCCAGTCAGGTTGCACAGTTCACTTTCGGTCAGCCAACATTTGTCTCTCAAGCAAAGAAGTACGGATTAGTCCAAAGAAGATCGGGGTGGGGGAAACATGTGGAGAGAAGATACTGCCATACTGGGTAACGACAGGCCCAGCTCTTCTCCACCTTGTGCATCAAATGACCTACTGTACTTGTACTGGCAAGGCTGTCTCTTGTCGACTCCCAACAGAAAAGGGAACGATCCTTGATATAGCACAGCCCCATGCTGAGCATTATGAACTTGGTGCCCCACACCCATCTTTGGTCTGGTAATCCTCCTCCTTGTCTCCTGTCAAGTACAAGTATATGCTCGAGCCATCCCTATCCACACATCTTGGATCTACAGCCGCCTTCTCAAAGACCTTCAACGCCGTCTCTGCCATCCGTGGCTCAATTCCGACCTCCCTCCCCGCCTCGACTCCAAGAGTGATGTCTTTGATCATCATCTGTGTCTTGAAACCCGGCTTATAGCCATTTGAACTCGGCACATTGCTCAAAATTCCGGGCACCGGTTGGACGTTATCGCACATCCATGATTGACCTGTCGAGTGTTTTATACACTGGTACAAAAGGGTCGGGTTGATGCCCTGCCGGATACCGATGGCCATAGCTTCGGCAGTGGCCAGAAGGATGGTGCACGAGAGATAGTTGTTTGCTATTTTGGCGGCGAGGCCAGAGCCGGGTGTGTTGCACCAGTAGAATCGCTCAGGAGAGCCCATCATCGTGATGACCGTTTCTATTCTTGTTGCTATCAGGTCGTTCTCTGAGGGTGGAGAGTGCCCGATCAGGAACGAGAGCGTTCCGGCTTCAGCTCCCGGTAAGCCGCCCTAAGCATCATCAGCATCTGTCCAGGCGAGAGCTCTCAATTCGGGATATGTACGGAAACTGGTGCGTCGCAAAAAGTGCCTGATCCAGCTTTCCCAAGTATCTCGCCGACATTCCTGGAGGTTTGACAGTCAATTGTGCTGCAATCCAACATTAAACGTTCTGGGTCCTTGGAAGCGGCAATCACTCCGCTGTCAGAGTTCAGATATACTTCACGGACGTCTGCCGCACCGGGTACGATGGAGACGACGACCTTCGACAGGGCTGCTGCCGCCTTGGCTGAATCGACTATATGGATTTGTCCCCAGTTACCGAATTCCTGGATGAAGCGCTCGCAAGCTGATCGATTGATGTCATTCACATATAGCCTGGTTTGGCGCGAGATTTTCTTGCGGATGTTGCTCGCCATAGCGTATCCCATGGTCCCTAGACCTGTGTGTATTCCCCTCAGCACGGAATGGTTTTGAAGCGCGAGAGCAAGACCTGCCGATAAAAGCAATGGCGTCCCCCATTATCCAGTAAATCCTTCAAGAGATACCGGTGATCTGTGAACAGTTGTTGTTGATGTGGTTGAGAGCCGTTCTTGGATCAATGGCAGTTAGCACTCGCCAGTCAATCAAATGGTTCATACGTTTCTCAAATGGTCAGGCGCCTCACACGAGGTTTCGATCTCCAGTTCCGCATGGGGTATTTATTGGCTTCGATTCCGGCGTCGTCGCTTTAATGAAGCTACCCCAGACTTTCTCACACTGTCCTCCACATGCATCCCCGCCTTTTGGCCAGTTTACCCCGAAGTTCAAATCACCTAAGAGGTTCAAAAGGCTCCTGACGATAGTGCGACTTGAGTCAGGCTGCTGGTGCCATTGTCAAGACTACAAGATCTGCCGGGCTCCGGTTACTCTCAACAATTAGACAGGGTCATCGTTGACAAATGGAAGAGGGAAGGGAAAGGTTAGTTGAGTCGCCGAGTGAGCTGAGCTTGTGGTGTTTTGGCAGAATTCCCTCTGGAGTGTAGAACTGCGAGGGGCATTTCGCAAAAGCATCAAACTTCACTGTCGCACTCCGCCATGTGCAGTGGTCCTCACCAGGGCAGCATAGTGGAAAATGTGTTACTCGGGAAGTGAACGACAGCGGAGAGAAGACACAGTTTGCCGGGTGCACTATTGAGTTGTAATCAGTCACGTGCTGCGCCTATCGCGTCCCTGCGACTGCGAGCGCGTAACAAGTCAATCACGACCTCGTATTGCCAGCCCATTCTACCAACTCAGGCCTTCTCGCGTCGCTCTACAGACTCTGTAGTCAAACATTTCAATCTTTGTTGGACAATCCCTGAACAATGCTCTATGGACATCTTTGATACCGTGACAATTTCTTCCCACCAGCAACCGGTTGAGTTGGCTCTGAGAATAGCCTAACAGCCACCCCACTGACGCCCAACAGGGCAAAGCGACGCTTGTTCTCTCGCCCTGGCCAAACTGACCCATCAGTCATCAGCCTCCATGCCTTTCACACTCTCCGAACTTCTCAACCCCGAACCCGCAACCGATTCGATTTCTTCAGATGTTGCCCATTCCAACGCTGAGTCGCATGGGTGAGATCGGTCGACTCCGACTGCTTCTACGGCTCTTAGGCTAATTTCTTCTCTAGGATGGACACTGCGGAGCCAGAGCCAGAACCTCCTTCGGCATACTTTGCGCCCGAACTTTTTCAGCCAAACGACGATGCGCCGCCCCCTCAAGATTCCATTCACTCGAGCGCGCAAATCGATGACACGACGATAGATGATGTCTCACTCTTCAAGGATAGCGAGGATTTGATCGGTCTTGATGGAGCAAACGATGGAGACCACATCAAGCAGGAGGCGATGGGAATGGGCTATCCTCCTTTGGATGAAGAGCCAAATCTTGCAGCCGGCTCTTCCATCATGGATATGGTAGAAGAAGTTCTCTACGCTGAAGATGCTCCGGTGCGGGCCACGCCAGAGAAGGCCCCGAAACAACGCAAACACCCTGGCAAGTCAAGGAAGCCCGATCCCGACGCTCCGCCTCGCTCGTCAGTCCACTCGTCCAAGAATGAAGGCCAGCACACAGACCGCAGGTATTTGTGTTACTTGTGCAACAAACTGTTTACCCGACGCCGCTCTGTCAGAGATCATATTTCAAAAATTCACAACACGAAAACCTGGGAACCAGTGCGCAGTTTGGAAATCATTGTCGAACCTTTAACGGGAGAGCCTCTGGAACCTCTTGAGGATATCATCGCCAGAGGTCCTCCTCCCCCGCCCCCTAAGCTAAGTAAGGCGGAAAAGGCCCAGAGGGCAGCAAAACGTCAAGAGGAAGAGCAGGAGGAGGAGCTGCACTCAGGGGACATTGGTGAGGATGAGGAGAAACAAAAAAACCAGCAAGATATTTCGCTCTCTGCGCAGCCTCGTGATGATTCATCGCCACCACCGGTGGTGGTACCTTTGAGGAGGGCGCCATCTATCGTGGGGTCAAGGGCATCATCTACAGAACCATTTGCTACTCCAGCACCCATCGCGGGCAAGAAGCGACCGGCACCTGAGGACTCCGCAAAACCTCTCTCAGCAGCTGCCAGGAAGAAAGGCACGGCCAAGGTGAAGAGCATCTCGAACAAGAAGGCCAGACTGAGCGAGTCCGAACAAAGTCCACCTGCGGCGCGATCGAATTTTCGCTCTCCCAGCGCTACTCCGAGCACGAACCAGCTAAAGCTGGGACCCTCGAAACTGAAAACGCAAACTTCGGCTGCTAGTGTACAGTCATCACCCACGCCTGCTTCGTCTCGCGCCGCATCACGAGAGATTGGTTCTCCTTCACCTTCGGATGCAGATACGTCATCGAGCTCCAACGATGACGGAGAGGTATTCTGTATCTGTCGGAAAGGAGATAATCATACATGGATGATCGCCTGTGACGGCGGCTGCGACGAATGGTTCCATGGGAACTGTGTCAACATTAAGGAACGAGACGGCGAGTTGATCGATAAGTACATTTGTCCATCTTGTACGAAGCCCGGCTTGCAGACCACGTGGAAACGAATGTGCCGGCGAAAAGATTGCAGGAAGCCCGCCCGTGTTACCCAAGTCCCTCCCAGCAAGTACTGCTCCGATGCATGTGGCCGAATGTTTTTCGTGGAACTAGTGCAGAGAGGCGACCCTCAGGCTCAGACTAGTAAGGATGGTCAGTATATTATTGAAGGGCCCACAACCAAAAAGCATCGCAAGAAGCAGAAGCGGAAAGAGAAACCTTCAAAGCAGCTCCTGAACCTTGCCAACGGCGTGGATCCCGACAGCCGACTCGCCACACCAGCATACAGCGACGAAGAAAGAACCGAATATGAGACCGACAGTAGTCTCGACGACGAAATGCTTCCCAATCGAGGCTCCGCATTGCGAGCTGGCGAAATCAAAGCTCTGATCGAGAAATGCAAAGATATCGAGCAGCTAAAGGCACTAGGCAGGAAGCCCGACACTCCGCCCCGCGACGTTGAAATGGCCGATGCCGATTCGAAAACAACAACAGCACCACCGGATTTGGAATATGATGACCTGGAAACAACCACGATGGCCAATATCATAGAGGAGAAGCAACGATTAAATGCGAGGTATGAGATGTTTGTCGCGCGAGAGAAGTTCTGGGAGCTAGTCAAGGCTCGATCGTCGACTATAATTGAGGAAGTCCGCAAGACACATCCGAAGATGAAAGATCTCTGTGGATTTGACCCCAGGATGGCGTGGTCCGATGAGGAGTTTTTGACATGGTATAATCACAACGGCGGGAAGGCGATTATCGACACTGGAGCAAAGGCGAGGATAGGACCACCAGAAGACGGGCCCAACGATGAGGGAAACACGAAAATACCCAACGGCGTCGCTCGGCACTCTCAGAGTCCAGCCGCGGGCGAGGAAGAAGATGAGAGTGACAACATGCCTAAAAAAGGCGGCGTCTGTATCAAGAATCGATGTCCGCGGCATAGGAACTGGGCTAAAGGCCAGCTTGCGGAGGTGCGGTTTGAACAAGACCTGATCAGGAGGGCCATTCAGAGGTGTGAGGTGCAGGAAGGAGAGATTCGAGGGCGAGCTCTTATTAGGGCGTGGGAGAAGAGAGGATGAGACCGTAATGGTGCCCGGATGATGGCAGGCTCGAGGACACGACAGGATTACATTTCCGGCCGTGAAGCACCGCTAATTAGCTTACAATCCTTGTTATATCCGCTCAAAGAAGGCGCCAGTACAGAGCGGTTTGGTATGAGAGAACACGAACGTCATTGGAACTTTGCATGCGTAGGACAGATATCTGGGCGAAGCCCGTTTAGCGAAGGAGAACTATTTTCTTGAAGATACAGAGGTTCAAGATCTTTTGTTCGCTATGGTATTCGTCTCGACGGAATCTCCTGACTACGCGCCTATGTATAGGGTTCAATTTGATTCACATTTTTGAAAACAAATGATATCGTGAAGTTTCATGCTGCCGCCACACCGACGACTGCGCCGTTCCTAGCTGGAATGGCCGTGTCGTCTGTGTCCTTCAACGAGACACGGCTAATGCCCTCGGCGCCCATAGCCCCCAGAGCCTGCTGAGGCTGCTCAACCATGAAGCCGCTGAAGAACTTGTCCATGCTCTCGTAGTCGTCCATGTCGCCGACCCAGCTGACGTACTGGTCCGGGCGGAGGATGAGGGCGCAGCCGCGGGCGCGGTCGATGCCGTAGCTCCTGTACGCATCGCCGTAGCCCTCGTGGTAGCTGACGTCGTCGACGTGGATCTTCCAGTAGTCCCAGCCGTCGCCGTCGTCCCACGGCCTAAACACCTCGGGGAAGTCGAAGATGGTGACATCCTGCCTCTTGGCCGAGTGTACTGAGAGGACCTCGATGACTGAATCGTACCTCGCCCCAGGCGGTGTGAAGCGCTTCAGGAACGACGTCGTGGCGCCCAGCTTCGCGCCCAGTCCGTCCAGACGGGCCTTTTGGGCTGGCTCCGTGATGTCGCCTGCAAACACTACCAGGCGCCACGTGCCGTTGCTCCTGAGGAGTTCCTGGAAGTGCCAGGGCCGCGCGTCGGCCTGGTTGAGGACTTTGAACGACGGCATTCGCATGCCCACCTTGACCTCGGACGCGAAGGCCTGGCTGCTGATGACGCGCAGCTTCTCTTCGCCCATCACTTCGGTGCCATCGCCTTGCTTGGTGCTGTCGCCGGACTTGGCCACCACCACGCTCGCCCCGTAGTCGACGGCCACGCCGCTAGCGAACAGGTTCCCCTTTTCAAACGCGTTCTTGAACTCCTCCATCGAGATGCCTTCCTCGTCGAGCACGTCCTTGGCTGGTCGTCCGGAGAAGAGCCGCGAGAAGCGGTGGTCGAAGTCAATCAGGTCTTGCGCTACCCTTCGTCGTTCGGACTGGTATGTTTTGAGGATTGACCTGTTGCTGGTGCCCTTTACGACACTCGCGACTTTCCACCCGAGGTTGAAAGCTGGAGTCACCCGTTACCCACCACCCCGTTGTGGAGGAATGGAGTTCCACTTACCATCTTGCATGCTGACGTTCATACCTTGGCCGGCCTGTCGGTGGTGTTAGTGTGGGACTGTCGGAACTGACAAAGTCGGAGTGTGTGTACCTTTGGACTGTGAGTATGAACGGCGTCGCCGGCCAAGAAAATCCTCTCTTTCAGACTGAACCTGTCACCGACACGCTGTCCAATTTGATAGGCTGTCCACCAGTCACAATATCGATATCCAATCTTGTAAGGTCTCATGATCCTCTGTGCGCTGGCCAGAATCGTTTCTGGGTTGATTTTGCTCCGATCTGCCCTCTTGCCACCTCCTTCGTTCTCGGTTGTGGTCAGTTGGATGTATAGTCTTACCAATTTGTTCTCCCGTGGGATCACCATCACACTCCCACTGCTTTCGCTGTGAATAGCACACCTCATTCGGATGTCAGGGAAGTCGGTAATGGGGATGATGTCGAGGACTCCCCAGATGTAGTCGGTGCTTTCGCCTTGGAGTTTGAAGCCGAGTTGATTTCTGACCCAGCTGTGGGCGCCATCTGCACCGAGCATGTATTTCGCTCTTACCGTCTCCTCTCCGCCCTCTTTCTCCCGCAGCTTCTTCGACTTCTCCAGCAGTTCTTGAGTGTCGTCCGGCGACAGGTTGCTGCGGAATAACCCATCCTGTATTCCGGATCCGTTTACACTGGTCGCAGACTGCTTTGGTGTTGCTTCTTGTTCACTCAGATGTCGAAGTGTTACGGTTATGGGATATGCGTCCTGGTCGTCGGCAAGGCTTTCATCGAATTGCAACGACACGGGCATGACACCGTGTTCGATGCTGATGCCATCCTGCCAGCCAGGCACATCTTTCAGTGTTCTCTTGCTGTGTTCGGAAATGGAGTCAAGGAAGAATCGTTCGATGCGCCCTTGGTGTAGGACGACCTGCTGGAAGCGCGAGATGTTTGGAATGGTGTCGGGAATGCGGTCAGAGCGGTGAATGACTCCTGTCTGGGGATCTGGATTCCAGAGGCAGATTTCGAGCATGTGATTTGCCTCGATCCAGGCACGGTGTCCAAAACCAAAGCTGTCAAAGATCTCAAGCGTCCGACATTGAAGTCCGTCAGCCTGACCGTTGAAAATCTAGCTCACAATTGTTAATTTTCTTGAGAACAGTAGAAGGATATGCTCGAGGTGGCCGACGTGTGTATGGTTCGACACAATATAAAGGAATTACTCAACTCACCTTGGTCCCTCTTTTGTCCACTATCCTCGTTCGAATCCCACACCGACTCATCCAGTTGGCCATCATAAGGCCTGCCGGGCCTGCACCGATGATGAGGACATCAACCTCGGAGTGTGTATCTGGCGCTCTGGGTCCCTGCGCCATATTGGGGGAGTTTCGCTCGAGTTCAAAGTCAAACCAGATAATGATAGGAACAAATCTCCGTAACCATCAAGGGGTTGTGGGTTCAGAGAATATCGCCTGTAAGAAGATTTTAGGATTGTAAGCATCAGGAAGCTCTCATGCATATATACATTCGACAACAGTAGTACATCCAGCAGCAATCATGCGTCCCATGCCTAGTGCACAGCGTGAGTACGTGGATCTAGAGATCCTACGCAGCAACCTGTGGGGTAGCGGATTCTCGGTTGCGGCACCGGATCAGGGGCAAGGCTTGACCAGCAAATCCGGGGCCGTTTCGGAGCCAGGGTGAGCGTCGGGATGGGATGCATTGCTTCGGTCTGATGAGTGCATGGCTTTTTCTTTTTCTTGAGGCGAGCCTTGCGTGGGGTGAATCCTTGAGATGTATGGTCGGATACCGTACTGCGGGCGGCAGGAATCGATTCCATCTTTTCCAATTCTTTCTTGCGGGGCTCTTTGACGGCGTAGCGAGGGACACTTGCTCGCATCCGCATCTTGGATGGATTAGATCCATATCGTAATAGCAAAATTATCGTGAAGTGTACCGAGTATGGAGTGCTTTACATAGCATTCCCTATTGTTTCCGTGGCGTTGTCGAGGAGACAGACACTAGTCCATATTTGATCTAGTTTGGCGGCCTGGTGAAGACAAGGCAGCCTTGGCAATCATTGGGGGAGGATGGTCTGCACAACTCATTGTCATGAGGCTGAGTGACAAGGCTGCCCTGCGCTGGACCGCTGGCGTTGTCCGTTGATCTTGCCATCGATCTCTCCTGTTCCCGACCAGACTGAATCAGCTCCATGAATTCTGATCGCCCTCGCCCCGTAGCCGTGATGACTTTGAGATCGCCATTATCTGTGCCTTGACCATTGAGCACAATGCTGTGGAAATACTGTTGGAAGAAGAGTACGATACCAACGGTTTTTCATACGGGAAAGCGCCCGGAAATTCGAATGCATATACCACAGGCCGTCTAGGTGGTCAGCATGTGGTCCCGGCTTATATGCCGGGTATGGGGGTGGCTAGCTCCGCTGCAGTGGCCGCCCATCTTCGCACGAGCTTTGAAAGAATCAAATTCGCCATCATTGTGGGCATCTGCAGTGGTGCCCCAACGACTCCTGACGGATCGTGATCTTGTTAGGCGACATCATTGTTGGTATGTCGGTGATTCAGATTGACATTGACCAGCAATATTCGGACAAATTCATCGGAAGGAAAGAACTCGAAGATACTCTCAGGCCGGCGAATCTAGAAATCCGAGCGTATGTCAGGAAGACCTTGGGCTATCTCGCTCAAAAGAGAATTGGGGATAAGATTGGCATCTTCCACACTCAGATCTGTGCAACCGACGCATTTACGAGCTCCGTCTATCCCCGACCAGAGAATAAAAACCTGTATCCCGCTGACTATTGGCACAAACACCGAATAGAATCCTGCGATGCTTACCGCCATTGTGACGCACAGGGTGATGAAGTTTGCAAGGAAGCCCTCCAGATCCCCTGTATAGCTCTCGCTTATAACAGTAACTCTATTAAAAGCCGCGCTCGCGTTCAACAGGCATAGGTATCTCTCGTGACCGAAGGAGATGACAGCGGAAAAGATCCAAGGTGCGAGAAAACTATCCATGCACGTCAGCTGAACAGCGTGCAGCAACGAGGTCATACAGAGTGTTCCGCACTGAGATCGGATTGCCGCCGAGGAAAAAGTAATTGGGTTCGAGATAGCGAGTGCAGGCAAATGGGATCATGTCCCTACCGTTGTGATCAAGGGCGTGTGCGATACACGGACAGCCACAAACGCAAACAGTCGCAGGTATATGCTGCGGTGACGGCAGCCGCCTGCACCAAAGAATACTGGAAGAGTGGAGGAGTGAAGAAAGGCCAGCTCGAGATGCAGTCGATCATGGACGCACAGGTGGATGTTCCGGTGAGCAATTTTGTAGCTCAGCAGCAGGTGCTGATCCACCCAGTATCCATTTCAATCGTGAATCCAGTACGATAGACCTTTACTCGCTCTGCCAACACGTTATTTACTAGGCGAAATGACATTCTCCATGGACCGTAAGTTGGATATCGTCGTTCAAGACACTGCGAAGAATCCCCAAAGTCAATGCAGGATTATCATTTCCGACATTGGTGGCCAGGATAGGAGCGAGCTCTGTTTGCAACTCGCTCATCGAGTCCAGGCTCCGTAAGTATATGTTTTATAACATCCTCTGAACATGTCGTGTCCTGATTCTCGACCAACTATTTCATTAAACGTGGCCAGCCTCTGGGGAATCTTTTGGGTCGCTGTCAGCACCCTATTGGCAGAGAATGGATTCTTGGACATTGCGAAGCAATTAAAAGTTTCGGCACGGACATGGGAGGACACAGGGCCAGGATTAGCCAATATCCAACAATCATGGATGCTGGTGCTAGACGACGCGGACGGCCTGAACATAGCCCACCAAATTTCCCCCCTAGCCGATCAGGTGTGGTGGTGCTGATATCGTGCAATCTCGACTGCGACCCGAATCCCACGGCTCAGCATATCAAGCTGGAAGGGCTGCCTACAGTTGACGCCCGAGAGCTATGACTGAAAGCACCATGTACTGCAGATAATCCGCCTTTAAAGATAGAGCAGGATACAGACCAAGGAGCTGAGCTACTTCGCTCGCACCCGCTGGCGCTGGTTCGGGCCGGAGCATGTGCGGCGCGGGGCCACTGTACTCCAGCGGAGTGTCCCCGAAGCATAAACAAGTCAACGGAAACGGCTTCTCACGTTCCGGCCCGCCCAGGTTCAGTCACATCATCGAGACGTCTACGCAACCTTGGAGGGCTCGGTCGAAATCCTTCAGGCATCAACAACAGAATCCGCCCGCGATGAAATCGAACTTTGCCGGTGCTGCTGTACGTGGACCAAATTGCATACCCCTTGAGTTATTTGCGGTCGCATGGACGTGTATAAAAAGATCGCCACTATCTGTTCATCGGAAAATAACAAGATAGGACTGAAAGTGGCATGTCACTCATCCTCTGTCCGTGATGGAAGTAAACGAGGAAGAGTGGGACAGCTTCCGGCTCATGGAAACCCCGCGGATGCTCAAATCATTCGCTCTTGTCTCGGTGAAGGACATCAATGAGGACGACACAAGGATATCGATACACCTGGTCGTCCTGCCTTGGGGGGAGATCGCCAAGATGACCCATGACAGCATGGATGATGGCTTAAGATGGCCTTTGTAGTAGCATTAGCTTGTTTGGACGCAGAGTTTTGGGCGGGCGTGCGGGCTGCCGTTGCAGCCTCATCTCCGGGCTGTGACAGCGTGGGAGATGCACTCAATATTCAGCCATGATCCACCAGCAGCAATTGCAGCGGTGCTATCGGAGTGTGGGCGAAGATTGGACAATTTCAGGGACGACAATCATGTCTCTTTACTGCTGGAAAGGGTGTTCACACCGAGCACTGGGTGAATGTGTACGAACTAAAGGGGTTGAGCTTGATATGAGCTGACAAAGCCAGGGAGGCCGTGCGGCTGCTCACATAGTAGTCGAGATTCAGAAGCGCACTGGCGGAGGAAAATCCAGATCGACTAGTCTCAATATATGATCTAGCTCCAGCATATCATGTAAAGGGACTGGTCGACTAGGCATTGGCGTTGTTTGAGCGGGAGAGTGCGTGCTGGACGAGGATCATCCTCTACGGAAGGTTTCTGAAGGGTGGCTCAAGTCTTTTTCGTCGACGGATGCCTGGCTCTTAGGTTGGAATGCTGGTAGCTTCTCTCGGAACATGGCAAGCTCGCCGTATTCAGCCCCTACTTAGGCCGTCCCTGGACTCGACGTTCCTGATTCTTCCACCAAGATGAGCTCGGACTGGGTCTGAATTGTTCGGCTCGCTACAAGAAGCGTTCCTGAACAGATCTCTGCGCGTGTTGCTGGCCACACTGACGCCCATCTTTGCAGCTGCTGGGCCACCCATCCGCCATTTGCATTCAACCCGCACAAGGGAGACGTTGGATACGTGTACCGAGTATATCTCTCTCTATTGAACTAAGCACTATGAATATGGCCAATCATCATGCCTCCAGTAAGCAATGCAGGGAAGACACCGGGACAGTGGAACGAGCATCAAATCATGACAGCAGAATGTCCGGGGACCCCACTTCCTGCCCACTTCCTGCCCAGTAGACCCCGCACCAAAAGCCTGCAGCCTTGGCGAGAAATCCTAGCATTCTTCCTTTCCCGCCACTTCTAAGATTGGATACACATCTTCAGTTTTGATATCGATTTGACCAAAGCTGAATGGTCCCCTAGATCAAGAACACAGCGTCATGCAGGATTGAACCCGCATGGGTGGTGCAGTATGCATCCGATAAACACTGTCAAGCGATACCCCACCCGAAGCGCACGGCCTTTGAATTACTGCACCATCCGCATCCGACAGCTCTGATCACTCGAGACTACTTACCATGTCTGGACAATGGGTTCTGGACGACTCCCAGAGTCTGTACTACCTGGACAGTGAGGATGGTCCAGGAAAAGTCTCTGCCGAGCCAAAGGAGCCTCTTTTGGAGCCGGAAAATGCACCATTTCGACATCCAGACAGCTCTTCACCTGCTGCTCATGGACAGGGCATGCCTATTCGGCATCAAAATAAGTCCCCAGGCCGGGGAACTCCAGTCACGGCTTCAGCTATTACTTCGCCTGCGTTCAAGCGCCCTAGATTGTCTTCCGAGAGCAACTACTTGGGGCGGCCATGTAGCTTTAGCCCGGCTCGGGATTCTTCAGCAGTGGATCAGGACTCGGACATTGACATCATGAGCGATGATGCCTTTTCCGTAGCAACACCTTCGACGGCGACAAAAACAAAGACAACAAGGAGAGCAACTGCAACTAGCGTTTTCGCACCCACATACCCACCTATCCTGGAAATATCTCGAAACGACCGCTCGTGCAGTCTCGCAAGCTCAAACACCAACAAAAACAACCATAACCACCGTGCCGGCCGCACACCAGTCAGAGCCCACCGCGAAGAGTCCGACAAGTCCCAGAAAGAGGCGCAGCAGGCCATCACGCGGACTCTCGCGCGCCTCAACCGAGCCACGCTGTCCGACCACACCTTCACCCACCCGCTGTCCGGCCTGGACCTGGTCATGGGCTTCAACACCAGCCTGCCCAAGTCGCGGTTCGACACGTACATCACGGCGCTGAGGCAACTGCTCCAATGTGCCGCGGAACGATGTAGTTTGAGGTGAGGCCGCCACACGTTAGAAAAGAAGCAAATCTCCTTCGCTTCGTGGTTGGATTCTGGACAAGCAGGGCTAACGGATGGATGCAACAGCAATGACTTGCAGCGCGCCATTACTGCCGAAGGAGTGCTTTGGGTGGTTCGCGAGGCATGGCCTGCAGCTGAAGGGTACTGGAATTTGACGGTACGCATGTTCTGTCCCAAAAGGCAATAAGCACACAGGGCTGGCTCTACTTTGCTATTCACAAGTTTTCTTTTTTTTTTCTCTCTCTCTTTTTCTTTCTTTTTGTTTTTCTTTTTTTTTTTTAGAAACGGTCAAGTTGTATAAGCTGACAAATCTCTGTCCTTCCCTTTTCTGCCATCAACAGGCTACCTTTCAAGGCTTCCTGCACTCGGAACTCTGGCGCAATTTTCCCTGCCAGCGCTCATACAATCAACTCCCGCCCGCATACCGTCCGACGCGGATACAGCTCTCGATACCACATTCCCCTATGATCGATTGGATGCCGTGGCCCGACGTTCGAGACATGGCGATCATGCACCAGGACCAGATCGACGTGGATGCGCTGTTCCGGATGGCCATCCACAACGTCGTCGCGCACCGGAAACGGCTGGGCCGGAGGAAACAGTCCTTCTCCTCGTCTTCTATCTCGAAAGAACACGACAACGGTTGCGAACCCGGCTCCTCGAAGCAGAAACAAGTAACCGCCACCACCGCCGACGGCGAGGACAACGTGACCGACAGGACCTCCTTCCGCGTATGGGACCTCGTGTGCCTGGAGAAAGCCAACGGCACTCCCCCGCTCGCGGAGCCGGGTCTGGAGAAGAAGCCCGTGCTGCGCTCGCCGGGCCTGCGCGCCCTCCAGCGCGCCTACGACCTCGAGTACGACGAGTTCGACACGCAGAAGCTGGATGACTGCTTCTTCGAGGCGTACCCGTGCCTGTACGCTGACACGGCCGCTTCGGCCTGGAAGGTCCGGAGTTTTCCCAACTTGCCGCACGAGGACGTCGGTGGGCCCATCGCTTTGACCCGTCCCGCGGTGTTCAGGCTGAAATCGAGGATCGAGTCCATGATTGGTGCCGCGATTGAGATCTAGACTTCCGACGCAGGCTGGCAGGCTGGCCTTGCAGTTGAATTTAACCAGTGATACCCCCAGCGCCGCGCCTCTCTTTCTTTCTTTGGTGAACGGGACGGACAGCCGCTGCATATATAGGCGAAGCTTGTATGGATGTAAACTATAGCAAATCTTGCATCCCAGATGCGCTTTGAAATGAATCAATCCATGTAGCCGTCATCGATTTCACCACACCTTCACAGGACGAAAAGTACCCGTAGGAAAACGACATCAGCCCCCGTCACAAAAGTCGCTGAGCCATTTCCTGGCGTGGACGTCGACTGCGCGATTGAACAGCTCGGGGGGGAGTTCAAAGGGTTCGCGCTGTGAGTCCGATCCTTGGGAGTGGTAGCGGTCCAGGATCGGCGAGGCAGTTTTTTGCGCTGGGAGGGTGCTGGTCTGGGCTGGAGGGGGGCTGCCAAAGAGGCGTGCGACGTCGGCGGGGTCGAGGTCGTCGAGCTCCACGACTCGAGCGCCGGCCGATAGCATCGCGCCCGGTGTCCCGAACACGACAGTACTGTCGCTCTCAGAGAGCTCGGGAGGGACGTCGATGTCGGACCTGTGGGCGGACCTGTAGTCGGCAAACGCAGGAAGATCCACGTGCTGCGAGGCGAGAAAGCTGGCATCGTAAGGAGGAGACTGGTACTGGCCGAACTCGCGTTGCAGGGGAAGCGGCGTAGCGTCGTGGATCATCTGGCTGATGTCGGGGAGAGAAATAGGTTCGTGGTGGCCACTCTGGCCAGGGCGGCCCGACTCAGAGCGGTGCTGCTCGCATGGTCTTTTCGAGGAGGTACTTCGCGTTGGCTGTGGCGGCTTCGCGTGGGATGAAATGTGTCTCAGGAGCGTATCCCTTCAAGCGCGCAATATAGATCTAGTCAGTCTCTGCAAGCTCGGCCTGCGTGGCCTGAGGAGTTCTTGTCTCTTACTGTCGTGTGAATGAGCGTAAACAGAGCGGGCATGTAAACGGTCGATCGGAATAGTGGCTTCTCTTGTGCCGGCTGAGGTGCTCGTTCCGTTTGAATGGCTTGGAGCAGATTTGGCAGCGATACACCGTCATCTGGACTGGCTGACAGTATTCTGAAAGCCGTAGCTTCAGATGTTGGAGAAGCGTGTACAAGCAAAGATTCTAGAACATGTCCACTCGCCGCTTGGGGTCGCTCGTTGTTTGGATCGAACCTCGTGCTTCGGCGAATGCGGGGATTTGTGGGCTGCGACTTGCGGGTTTCGAGTTTGCGGGGCTTGAGACCGCGGGACAGATGCAAAGATCCACCAGAGGGTTGCACGCGAGCCAGCCAGCATCAAACTCGGCTCCGTAAGCGGCGTGTGAGTCCGAATATCGGCGACCGACTTGACCTTCTGGGCCAAAAGGTGGGCTGACATCAAAGCTTCCACTTTGCGCCTCCTTGGCTCAAATTGCTGACCGCAGCCTCCAACCTGACCCAAAACACGGCCAGAGTGGCACTTGTCAGCAGCACGCCCACCAAAATGGCAGTGTTCTGGTACGGGGCAGGGCCTTTTTCATGAGTGGCACTTCGGACGAGTGCGCCGGCGACGGGTGTCCCGACCATGGTGGCCAATCCTCGCACCATGTACAGAAACCCGTTCACCGAGGCAAAGTTTTGAACTCCAAAGACCTCGACAAGAGAGGTCGGGAAGAGTGACACGTATGCGGATGCGAAAATGCCATAGAGTACCGTGAAGGCGATAAACAGGTTGCGGCTGTCAGCCTGGGTCGAGGAAAGGGACGAGGGAATCCACAACCCAAGCGCAGCGACCGCTGAAATAGCCATAGTCAGGAACAAAGCATTGAGGCGGCCGATTCTGTCTGCTGCGTGGCCGATGATGATCTTCCCAATAGCGTTGGCAGCGTTGGACAGGGCGATAAAGTCCGAAGCCGTGGCCGAAGAGTAGCCCAAGGTTCTTGCATACGAGGCGAAGAAAAACACGGGGGTGTAATATGCCGCGGATTGCAGTGCGGCCTCCAGGGCTTGCGCAAAGAAGGTGCGGGATCGAGCGATGCGATAGTCCACCAAGGGGATTTTGAGCAGGCCCACGATGCCTGGCGAATGCCTCGCTTCTGCCCTGAACCGGCGTGATGCAGGAGCTTCCCAACGCATGACGGGAGCGGTGGCACTGATGAGCACAAAGGCAACGGCTGCTGATATGCGCAGAGAGTTGCGAAACCCTGTTTTTGGTGATCAATCCATGCAGCACAGGGGCCCAGACGACGCCTCCGATGCCAGTCCCCGAAAGGATGATACCCATGGCCAGACCGCGACGCGCCGTAAACCAAGTCGGCGCCACCGTAACCGCGGGCATGTAGGATAGACAAGTCCCTATGCCGCAGAGCAATCCTTGAGTGAGCTGGATCTCCCACATTCGTTGGCCGAACGAGGCCAACAGCAAGGCGAGAGAAAACACAATCCCACCAGCCCAGATGACAAATTGGGGAGGAAATCGTTTAGTCCACGCCGTCACGTAGGGGGCGCCGATTGTCATGAGCGAGATGGCCAGCGTGCCGATGAGGTCAATCATGGCCGGTGATGAGCCGTAGAATGGCGACGAAGGGTCGTGGGACAGGCCCTGGTAGACATCTTGGTACACACCAAAGGAAAAGCCGATGCCGCATACTGTGAAAATGAGGGTTGTCGAGCGATTACTATTAGGACATGTTGACTAGATGGCCAGTACTATTCCGATGAGATGAGGGAACAGGACATGCAGGCCTACAGCCTCGAAGGTTGGACTGGTTGCATTTCCAGTTACAGTGGTGCTGGAGGATTCTGTTGATCCAATCCAATGGCGAGGTTTGCACTGCTGGCGGTATTGACCTCTATGACGGGCATGTTTGTCCTGAAACCTATCTTCTTGGGTAATTCGCAAATGCTCTTGAAAGGCTTTCCGATGGACTTGAAACATGCCACGCTGTGCTGGGGTAAAACCGACTTCTTATTCCTGAGTGTTCCAGCCAGATGCCGCTGGCTATCCCTAAGTTACACCCGCATGTCGATCATAAGGCGCATCGAAGTGAGCACGGAAATTAAAAAGCCCGACTCCGAAGGCACGGGGGGATTTTATACTTGTATATTAGGGGAAAAGGCGGGATCAATTCCTCCCAAACAACGTTCCTACTTGTTATACAAGTAGAGTCTGGGTCTTCGCCGAGAAATTGTCACCAACTCTTTTTCATCCTGCTGGTTGCGCAGCCTCGTGTGCCCCTTTTCCAGCAATGAGATACGTAGCCTGCTTGGCTGTCGACTCGACATGGTGAGATGGTGGGAGCCGACCTTGACCTGGCACCCGTATCCTATATGATCTACAAGTATTGCCTAGGATGCGGCAGTTACTATTGTACTTGTGGGAATATGGCTCACTCGAAGACGCCTCCCAGCGTCATGCGTAAGGAGCGGCCACACCGTGAAGAGCGACAAGGCTGTGTGACAAGGCTGCGCTGCCAAGGAGATTGCTTCCCTTCTGCCGAAGTTGATCCCTTCCGCAATTACGCGTTGGATGCGTACCCAGATAATACACAACTCAGCCCACACGTAACACCTCTCACCTCTCACCGTCAACCTCTTTCTTGTCTCTAGCAAGCCAAGACGCACGACTCAGAGAGACAAAGGTCACCCCGACTTGCCATGAAAACTGTACAAGGGGCACAATTCTTCGGCACGTGTCCAACATGTGATGATGCCTCGGACGTCCCAAGACCCGCCAATATCCCAAACTCACGCCACCAACAGACCACCTTTTTAATCCAGTATTTTGGCGAGGATCTATAAAACCACCTAGGGCGGCCGCCTCAAAAGATTAGATGATGGCACTGACATATTGTCAAAAAACCAAACACACAAGAACTACAAGATGACTGATCGGATTGCTATTATTGGAGCCGGAGAGGTAGGCGCCGCCTCGGCCTACGCTCTCCTGCAAGGCTCCCTTTATAAAGAGATCCTGCTGGTCGACATCAAGCCGGAGAAGAGAGACGGCCAGGTACGAGACCTCTCGGACGCCTGCTACGCCGAAGACAGCAGTACCCGTGTTCGGGCCGGAACATACAAGGAAGCCGGCGAATGTGACATTGTTGTCATTACTGCCGGGTCGAAGAGGACAAGAGGTAAGAGAGGAGACCTTGCTCATGGGCGCTACACCTGTCTTCTCTTGTGGTTCATGTTCTGCGGACAAGAGTGACTGACGCATGCAAACCAGGTGAAACCTCACTTCAGCTGGTCGAGAGGAACACTGCCATTCTCCGGAGAATCATCAACTCGATGAGACCGTTCCGCTCAGACCTCATCATGATTGTCGTGTCACACCCCGTCGATGTGCTCACGACGCTGGCTCAAAAACTCTCGGGCCTTCCAACACGTCAAGTCATAGGCTCAGGCACTTTCTTGGATACGGTTCGACTTCGGAGAATGCTAGCGGATAGGTTCGAGGTACGTACATATCAGCACCGATCTGACCCTTCCTTGCCATCCAGCTCGCGGCTAATCTGAAACTCTATCACAGGTTGCGACTGGTCCGGTCAGTGCATATGTGCTGGGAGAGCACGGAGACTCTCAATTTGTGGCCTGGTCACTTGCCTCGATCGACGGGGTACCGATCGGAGAGGCTCTCCCGGAAAAGGAATTCAACAGAGAGGAGCTCGCTGAAGAATGCAAGCGCGAGGGCCAACGGATCGTCGACACGAAGGGGGCCATCGCATTCGGCATCGCGTCCGTCGTGTCCAACATTTGCGGCTCGATCATTTTCGACAGGCGCGACGTCCGCCCCGTCAGCCACTTCCAGCCGGAACTCGACTGCTGCGTCAGCATGCCCGTCGTTCTGGGTAGACATGGCGTTGTCAAGTCTTTGCCGCTCCCGTTGTCGAGCGAGGAGAAGGCCAAGTTGGCCGAGTCCGCGCACATCGTGAGGGAGGCGGCCCAGCAATTGCTGGGTCCGTAGTTCTTAACGGCGTCAAGGGCTCGAGGGGATAAAAGCCGACAGGGCGGGCTAACGGGGGTAATGGATAAAGGGGTAAAGGACGAAGAGCGAAGGGGGGCCTCTTCCGGATCTCGTTGCAAGCCTTTTCTTTTCTTTTTCTTTCCTCTTTCTCCCATGCGTGCTTCCTCTGACTGCTCTTCCGCAAACTACTGCTTTCACGGTATATTCTACCATGGGACCAGGGCCCCGCGACCCGGGGCCGGGAAAAATTGGATTCGTACATTCCTGTTACCGCTACTGTATCCAGTGCTGCGCTGTATTGAGTTATCAAACACGAGCGAGCTTAGGTCAGGCGGTATCAAGCAAGGCAAGCCGTATGACAGGGCTGGGCCGCAGAGCAAGGGAGAAGGATTTTAGGGCCTTGAGGAGGGGGGGGGGGGGGGGGGTTAGGGGTCAAGGGGGACTTCGATACATTACAAATGCTACATTTTGATATGCCTGTATCCTGTACCCAGCCAAACAGCCTAAAGTAGACACAAGGCACACGACACGAGACAGAAAGACCGAAGATGAAACACTTTTTGTCTTTTTTCTTTCTCTTCCTGGCTTTGGGGAACAGTACACTCTCGCGCTGGCCTGATACTTCTTACATAGAGATATACCATCGGATGATGGACGATAGAGGCCAAATACCATATACATGTGTGGTGCTTGTAATGAACACCCTCGTGAAATTAACTATGATTCTGAACGTATGTAACACGTTCGTACCTCGCACGTTATAAGTTGTTTTGAGATGATTCTTTTACAATATCCATCTTTTCCTCCTTTCCCCTTCCTCCGTACTTCGCTACTAGTACAATAACGATCAAGAACCGTTCGTCTTAGCCTGCGCCAGTGCCTGTTCGCTCGCCAGGACGTGCTTCTTGACCTCGAGGAAACTATCCGGGCTGACCGAAACAGAGCTGATGCCACAGTCGACCAGGAACCTTGCGAATTCGGGATGGTTGCTGGGTGCCTGGCCGCAGAGGCCGATCTTGCGGCCGGCCTTGCGCGCGACCGTGATGACGCGTGAGATCATCCACTTGACGGCCGCATCCTGCTCGTCGAAGAGGTCGGCCAGCTCGGCCGAGTCGCGGTCCACGCCCAGCGTGAGCTGGGTCAGGTCGTTGGAGCCGATGGAGAAGCCGTCGAACTGGCGGGTGAATTCCTCGGCCAGGATCACGTTAGAGGGGATCTCGCACATCACATAGACCTGGAGGCCGCCCTCGCCGCGCTTTAGCCCGTTTTCCGCCATCACTTCCATCACCTTTGCCGCCTCGCCGACGGTCCGGCAGAAGGGAATCATGACGATGGCGTTCGTAAAGCCCATGTCTTCCCGTATCCGCTTGATTGCTCTGCATTCGAGCGCGAACCCTTCTTTATAGCGTGGAGAGTAGTACCGCGACGCACCCCGGAATCCCAGCATCGGGTTCTCTTCTTTTGGCTCAAAGTCCTTTCCGCCGATGAGATTGGCGTATTCGTTTGTCTTGAAATCGCTCATCCGGATAATGGCTGGCTTGGGGTAGACGGCGGCGCACAAGCACGCCAGCCCGCGAGAGAGCTTGTCGACGAAATACTCGGGCTTGTCCTTGTAACCGGCTGTTAGTCTGGTGATTTCTGCCTGGGCGTTTTCATCCTTCACTTTCTCGAAATGGACCAGGGCCATAGGATGAACTTGAATGCTGCTGACGACGAATTCCATTCGTGCCAATCCGATCCCGTCAGCGGGGAGACGCCACCAACGATAAGCGGACGCCGGGTTGGCGAGATTGAGCATGACGCTGGTTCGGGTGGCTGGTAGCCCGGTCACGTCAAGCTCCTTGGTCGTGATGTCCGAGATGCCTTCATAGACAAACGCAGTATCGCCCTCGGCACAAGACACGGTAACGTCTTGTCCTGTGTGCAGAACATAGGTGGCATTGCCAGTTCCAACGACCGCAGGGACACCCAGTTCACGACTGACAATGGCTGCATGCGATGTTCGCCCGCCATGGTCGGTGATGATAGCTGCGGCTCGCTTCATGATTGGCACCCAGTCCGGATCAGTCGTTGCCGTAACCAAGATCGACCCATCGACGAACTTGCCGATGTCCTTCGCGTTTTCGATGAGACACAGACGACCCGACACGGCTGCCTCGCCAACCGAAAGACCAGTCGCCAGAACACGGCCCTTCTTACCAATTTTGTATGTTTTGAAGACACTGGCTTCACGGCGTGCTTGCACAGTCTCGGGCCGCGCTTGGACAATAAACATCTCTCCAGTGATGCCGTCCTTGGCCCATTCTATATCCATGGGGCATTTGTAGTGGTTCTCTATAATGCAAGCCCAGCGCGCCAGGTTGAGGATTTCCTGATCGTTGAGCACGAAACTGTGCCGCTCTTTCTTTGAGGTGGGCACGTTGCGGGTTGGCATATGCTCATTTCCATATATCATCTTCATAGCCTTTTCACCGCGTTTCTTCTCTATAATGGGAACGAGGTCGGGATTGGTGAGAAGCGGTTTGAAGACTTGGTATTCGTCAGGATTGACGGTGCCTTGAACGACATTTTCGCCCAGACCCCAGGCGGCGTTGATGAGCACAACCTTGTTGAAGCCACTTTCAGTATCGAGAGTAAACATCACCCCGGAACCGGCAGCATCCGATCGAACCATGCGTTGCACGCCGATAGACAGGGCGACTTTCAGGTGATCAAAATGTGCGGTCTGTCTGTAGCTAATAGCCCGGTCCGTGAAAAGTGAAGCGTAGCAACGTCGACAGGCGGTTAATAGCGCAGCTGGACCCGAAATATTCAAAAACGTTTCTTGTTGGCCAGCAAAACTTGCGTCGGGCAAATCCTCAGCCGTGGCGCTGGAGCGCACGGCCACGGACAGATTCTTAATGCCTGCTTGCGCAGAAAGCTCCTGGTAGGCGTTTGTGATGGCGGTTGCCACATCCGCCGGCCAGTCACCACGCAAAAACAGATTGCGCACCGCATAGCCAGTTTCCGAAAGAGTTGCCTTGCCAGATTGCCATTCCTCGATCAGCTTGGTCATCTTCCCCCTAATGTCGTTTGCGTCGACATAGCGCCAATACGCGTCTGCGGTTGTGGCAAAGCCAGGCGGAACGGCGATGCCCTCTTTCTTGAGGCCACCGATCATCTCTCCCAAGGAAGCATTCTTGCCTCCGACGGACGCAACGTCTCCTCGCACCACATTCTCGAAGTTGCGTACCAAGACCTTTTGGCTGGGTCCGTTCATGATCTGTTTGTTTCTGTTCTCTCCTCTCGGTTCAATGGGGTATTTTGACAGATATCCAAGTGATGATTATTGGGGGTGCATCCTCGATCCTCAAGTGACTCGCTTGCCAGATGTATGCAGCGATCAAGCTTGATTAAATGAGGTTGTGAAGTCATGAGATGTCTTGGAGCTGGAGCCCCGACGAGCGCATTGATGCTCGGGTCGGACGTAAGACCAGAGTACGCGCATGCCTCCTCTACTCCCTAACCAATCTCTGCAAGCCGATGCTACACTTTTGTGGAGGATGGCGCTTGGATCTCAAACAGGTGACGATGGAAAGTCCATCATGAGAGGTTGAAATGTCCAACTTACCGAGCTTTTCCGCAACTAACAGCAGAATCCTGCAAGAATCACCTGATATTGGAGCGAATCCCTTCTCATAACGTAATGCAACACGAGAAGATATTAAAGCGGACATGGTCAATAAGGAGATGGCCAGGAGATGGCATCACGTGTAGCATCTCATCTCCTTGTTAGAGTCATGAAGGGAGGAGATTGAGATGGTGAGATGGAAAGGAACTTCGCAGGGGAAATCAGTAGAGAAAAGCTTATTTGCACCACTCGTGAGATCATCACCAATATTGGGGGCCTTGTGCATAACCTGGATTGACGCGATGATCATCGTGTCTGATCCTTGTTAGAATTCCTCGAAGACTCTGCTTTTGAAGGGTGACCAGAGACACCACTCAGTGTACAAGTAATGGCGCGAATTCTTTCAACAGGCCATCTGCAACGAGGTACTGGACAGTTACAAGTCTCGGAGAATAAGGGGGATAACGGCGGCGACCATGGGACTGCTTGTCCACATCCATCTCTCGCGCGTTGTGAATGTCTGGGATTGCATTTTGGTGTCTCATCTTCATCCGTACAATCTGACTTCGTTTCCCCGACTGGCAAAATGGCAAGAGTAGTGAATAAAAAGTCATCGATTCGTGGCCAGCCCATCCAACGCCCTCTTGAAGCTTTGATAAAAGCCATGTTTGGACCCTTTCCCTTTTTTTTCATCAGTATCTGGACAAAATCCGACGCTCCGGCCCCGATTCCATCATCATCATCATCAACACTTAGATTAGGCCGTTTCTTCCACGTGCCGAAGCACAGGGTAAAGTTGTTCTTCCTCGGATTTCTCCTTGTGTTCGTCCGTGCCAGTCATCTCGGCGTCTGCGTGCTCGCCAGATTCCTTCTCGGCCGAGTCCTTACCCGCCGCGTCACCATCCTCGTAGTCGCCGCTCTGAAGCTTCTTCTTGATGAACTCGCGCATCCATTCAATCAGACGCATATTTTGAACCCACATCTCAGTCTGGTCGGGAGCATCTTTGGATTCACCGCTCTTAGGGGTCTCAGCGCCTTCGGCACTAGCGAGGGCAGGGTCAATGACGCTATCTTGCGGCGACGCCTTCTTTTTGCCCTTGGCCTCTTTGTTGGCGGCAGAGGCCGGAGGAGTGACGGAGCCGTCGCTGCCGGTATCCATTTCGTCCTTGAGCTTGCCAGGAGCAGCACGCTGAAGTCGGCCACCATCCCAGCGGCGGCGGTCATCGCTCTCGTAGAGACCGCTGAGTGTCGCGGCATTGGCAGCGGCGTATGCCATGTCGCTAGCACTAGCTGGCAAAGTTGGGTACATGGCGCTGCTGGTTGGTGCGGCGTGGCCAGGTAGGGGGCTTTGGCCGGACGTGTAACTTTGCGCAGACGACGGAGGGGTGAGCCCCGGTGTGCTGGCATCCGTGGCACCGCTTGCAATGCTGTCTTGGTGCCCGTGCTGAAGCAACGAGGCTGAATTGGTGTGAGCGGCAGTTGATGGATGATGGTGCTGATGGGAAGAGCTGGGGGGACTGTTGCTGGAGCGGGCATATGTTACATAGCCAGAGCCGGTGGGTGCTACGCCGGCGGTGAGATGAGCATCGTTTTCGTAGATGGTGGCTTGCATCTGCTCCAGGATTTGGTCGATAGATGTCAAATCTTCCCTTGTCTTCGCGTTACCCATGGGTGGCAAGCTGTAGGCTTGGATAGGGTCTTCTTGCCCATAGGCACCACCGACCGCAACCGGTTGATAGGCGGGAGTCGGAATGGCGGCTGGGATGATCTGGGGCAGCTGTAGGCCTTGGAGCTCAAATAGACGGCGGCTGACATTGTGGAAATTGATCGGGTCGACCTCCCGGCGCTTGACCTGGCCGAAGAAATGGTCGAGAGCATCATAGCCGCGCTTGCGGGCCTCATAGTCGTAGGTGGTCTGGGGCGCGGTGCTGTAGTACGTCACGGGGCCATAGCCTGGGTGTTGTCCTGTCTGCCATCCGCCATTAGAGTCGTCCTCGCGAGGAAACAGGATCGGAGCAACAAAGAGATGGTGCTTACCGGGACCGGGGGATGCGGCTGGTAATACTGATTGGGGTGATGCTGGCCAGTGTAATCTTGCGGACCTGGCATGGCAGGGGCATAGTAGTTTGGAGGCACTTGTCCAGTCAGACTGCGACCATAGTATGAGTTGCCGTACTGCCCACCTTGTCCCATGCCGTTCTGAGATTGACGCTGGCCACCACCGGGCTCCATGTTGGGAGAGCGCATGATGACGCTATCGTCGGCGTGAGTTTTGACATGTTTCTTCAGGTCTTGCGGACGCTTGAAGGCCTTGCCGCAGAATTCGCACTTGTGAGGTTTCAACGGCACGTGAACGCGGATGTGGGAGGTAATGTGGTCGCGTTTCACCGTGGTGGTGCGACAAGCGCCCCAGGCGCAGGTCAAGTTGAGATTGTTCGTCGACTTGCGACCGACATGGCGCTCGCAAACATGCTCCTGGAGTATTCCATGTTAGAGCGCGTCGACGGACGTCAGGATAGAGGGGAGATTGAAGGGGAGGTGGGAGGCTCACGTAAAGCGCTTCAGCTGAAGGGCAGCGCTCGCCGCATCCTTGCCACTGACACTGCAGGTTTTCCCCGGCAGCGTTGACGCTGGGCGCGGGCTGGTTTGAAGCCAGCGGCTGCTGCTGGAGTTGAGCTGGTTGTTGAGCAACCTCCTGGGAGGCCGGAGGATTGGGCGTGGGCGTGTTTCTCTCTCCCAAATCAGCCATTGTTTGCTTGGCTCGAAGTCAACGCCAAGAGCGATGTCGATACTTGGCGGCGGAATCGAAGAGTCCCAACTTCAGAACGCGAGGCTGCGATGCGAATCCGATCACGCAATAGAATCACGCCAAGCGGATGGTGAGGGTGATGAAAAAGTGAAAAAGTGAGGATAGAGAAGACGAAGAAGAGTGAAGGGCCACCAGAATTCCGGGTGAGGGAAAAGGTGGTGAAGGTTTTTTTTTTGGCCTGAGTAGTTAGGCGGGTGCGGGCGACCGACTACTATTAAGTATATCGTCCCGCTGGGTGATCTGGCGGTTTCTGGACTGGGACCGCCGACTAAGATGACGATAGGATGAGGGATTCTAAGATCGCCTGGAGGGCAGAAAGAAGCACTCAGAGAGGAGCAGGTTTAATTAATTAGACACGAGAAGGGAAGACACTACTATTCTGCTCGCGGCTGGGGGGGGGAGGGGGGCTTTGATGCTGTTTGGGGGAGGGGAGCAATAGGTTGAGTGAGGTGAGGTGATGGGGGGGGCAGGAGCCACCAGGCGATTCAATTCAGCGAAACAGAGGGGAAACAGCATGAAAGGAGGAGGTAGGAGCTGAGCCTGGGGCCTCAGAAGACTGAGAACAGAGAGAGAGGAGGCACCAGAGGGACCAGAGGGAGAGGGCGACACGCATCTGGCCGTCGAAGCGCAGAGTGGCAGTGACTGAGCACCTTCCAGGCTTCCATTAGCGTCTTGGCCTGAGCCCGTGCCAAGCCGCTAGAAAATCCCACCATTCAGAGGTCACCCATTGCTGCGTGCTGGTGGGGCCCTGCCGCTTCATTGCGCCGACTACCAACTAGGAGAGCAGCTCTGGGCACGCTTGAGCATGCTGAGCACAAGCACTGAGCAGACTCTCACTCTCAATCCTGAGCTCGTGTCGGCTGGCTGTCAGCGTGATACGAACTCGGAGGCTGCAAAGCGAGTCTGCATTCCGGAAATATCCATCTCAACAACCTTCCTCAGCGGTGAAGTTGGACGCTGCCAAACGCCGGCCCATCTGCCCGGCAGCCCCCTTTCACGGTGCTGATTGCACGCACACCCCTCTTGTGTTTTGTCGTGGTCTCATGGCTACGCGCAAGAGCAAGAGAGCTGGCCGAGAAAACGAGGAGCTGAGAGCGGAATGGGACCCCGATGAAACCCTGATGAGTCTTGGTCTTCTTGGAACGTCGGAAATCCTTGGAACAAGCCCAGCGGGACGAGAAATTGGCCAAGGGAGGAACATGGACCAAGAGTCCAAGACATGGTGAGCGAGGCGCAGCACTGTCACTCCCTGTGGTGACACCGCCAGAGGGGACGGCCCCTTGCAGGCGGTGGCAACCTGGTCCAAAACTTGGTGGCCCCTTGCTCCATGCTCCGTCATGCTAATGCTCGCAGGAATTTGCCCATGGTGGCCCCAAATTTGCTGTCCAAGACCGGAATCTCTTGGTCTTCGTATCTATTTCCTCTGCCACGGCTTCTCCGGTCTTAGCTTCTATGTCTACGCCTTGCACGGTCACATGGACGATAAGCGCGATGAACGACTCGATCTAGAGATTATTCCTCGTTTCGGTGCGGCTTCACTCACTCGTCTGCGGGTTGGATTATTCCTTTATTCCTTGAGTGGCAAAAAGAGATCAAAGCCCAACGAGTGGTGTGACAGTTGCACCATCTACCAAGCATAAGCCATGATCCGTGGACATGCCTGTTCCCCATACGCCACACTCTGCAGAATCTCTGAAAAATTCCTAACCAAGCAAAACTTGCGAACCACATGGCAAGAAGGAAGTCGTATGACGTGCTCATACTTCGGCTCATACTTCTACTTGTACTGGTATCTCGCCATGCGCAGAAGCCGTCTCGCCAACTAGGTTAGGTTAGGTAGGTTGGGTAGGCTGGTAGATAGCAATGTACTGGTAGGTCGGGACATTGAGGGGTACTTGGTAGATTTTTCTTGACCTCCATCATACCCCGTTGATCACATTATTGCCTCGTCGAAACATGTGATCCGACGAGTTCATCACAAGCAGATCGAGAAAAAGACTCCTAAGCTTCTTCTTGTGAGATAAGGAGGGGGAAAGGGCGTGGACCATCGCAAGCTTACAGGTCCTTCATACTTTGTACCCTTGGTGAAATCCGCACCCCTAAGCGAGGTTCCTTTCTTTGTCCCCCTTTTCCTTGGTTTCCCCCTCTCGCCTGTTTCTTGGGGTCTCGGGGTGCCAGCAACGCAACGCGCCCAGCCTAGTAGCCTCGCCAACCGTGGCGGAAGTCTTGGTGTGACAGGCGAAGAAAGAGCGGAAATTCTTGGGTGCTTGGGTGCTTGGTCTCGGGACCGACAAGATATACGGCGACGATGATGACGACGATCATGTTCTTGTTCTTCATCCCTGCGTAACACGTTCATCTCGCAATCCGCGACCTGTAGTCGTAGACACTTTGTTGTACTTTTGTGCATGGAAACGGATCGGTGTGCGGCGCAAAGTCCTACAATTAACAAATCTCCGGACTCTTACTCTTATTTTTCCATTCGCAGGGCATTTTGTCAATCCGCCATTCTGGCCTTGAACAGTTACATAAAAGACCGCACAACGCGAGTCGATTGACGGACTGACTGGCTGCTCCTGGCACACACTTGCTAGGTAGGGACTCATATATTACAATGTCGCGCTGTGGCTACTTGAGCATTTCCGGACTTCACGATTATGACATGGCCGCGCTGAATTGAACAAAATTGATGCCACACTCTGACAAACCCCCCTCCCTCCTCTTATCCAAATACACAGAATAGCCCAAAAAAGGGCTCAAGCACGACGAAGTGGTCGCTCTAATGTAGCTAACGGCGTGTAAGTACAAGGACAGTGGACTCCCTTGTTTCCAAAGATAAAAGACAATTCAACGGAATGCTGATTACCAACGAAGAGCCACCTCTGCTCGAACACCCCAGGACTTCGATTCGTGCCCCTTATGATTTTCAGTTCGGCTTGATGGCTCCTGTTGGTGAAATATCACGCTCGGTCGCTGCCGCTGGTCGCTGCCGCTACGAAACAGGGCGACACCCATCGCATGTTTCAATTTGGTCTGCGTGATTCTTCTCCTGCAAGCCTAACGACCAACTCGCTACATACGTAGATGACAGTTCTCATCGTGTGTCTTTTTTTTTTGATCCTGTGCTCTGATTTAACCACAAATCCAATTTTTCCCGCCCCTCACAAATATCACTGCTGTCCACTGCGGTTACATCCCCGACTCACTCACCAATCAACTTCAACCCCAATCAATATCTTTTGCGGACAGAAATGATCAAGAACGCCGTTACGCCAAGGACCCGTGCGTGGAATTGCCAATCAGCCCCGTTTCCCCATTCCAAACCCTGTGGTATCATCATAAAGCAGAGAACCGCGCCACCGTACCTGAATTCAGATCGGGTCCCAGTAGAACAAAAACACTCCAGTGCGCCAGATGCCTGCCCGTTCGTCACTGCTGGGGGGTGCTGCCGTAATGATGATGATGCTCGGCCCAAGTTGGGGTCCAGCTCTCAGTGCCAAAATAATCCATGCTGGTCTGTTGCACCCCGGGTGGCAGCCCGGTTCCCAGTCCTATCTGTCCTCCGTTGAGATGTTTCCAGTATTCGTCTGGATTCGTCGAGGCGCTCACATCGCCGCCCCCCATGTTCATCGATTCTGTCGTATTCGGAACTCCTCCTAGGTGACTCATGTCCGTCCCCAGCGCGTTCTGCATAAGGATATCGGTAAAAGGCGCGTTAAAGTCTCGGCTGGTCTGGCTGCCAAAGTGCTGTGCTAAGCTAGGGTTTTCATTCAACGTGTGCTGAAAAGGGTAATCATAACCCGCGAAATGAGGTGTAGGTATGGGCATCTGATGGCTGCTGCTCGGTGTTCCAAAAATATTCGGGTCGTTGGGGGTCATGCTGGGCTCGGAGAACGAGTAGTGCCCATCGACTGATTCAATGGCACTCATGGGTTGATTAGGATACGCGAATGGATTGTCGCTGGGGAACATGACATTCTTCAAATCCGGTATTTGGGCATTGCCCAGTTGCGGCGTATATTGATAGTTCGGCGACATGGGAGACGACGTTGACGGGCTTTGGAATCCCATCATTTGAGCACTTTGTACTTGCTCCGAGAAGTTCGACATGACCGGATCTGGTAAAGAGGTTCTCTTTGCCAGTTTGGCTAGATAATCTGAAGGTAATGTTCTTGCCCTGCTGGGCGTCGCCGAGTGTTCTCGAGAGCCCATTGTATTTGCGACGTCTGGGCCAGGTTGTCTCTCCTGTGCTGGGCCTCCTTCGGTCCCTGGGGGCGGGCGCTTGCGAGTGCTTGCTGGAGCGAAATTGAGGGAACTCCGCCGTTCCTTCAGCTTTTCCGGGAGAACATCGAAAAGGCCCTACGAAGTGGAACAGTCAGTCAGCATTGTAGCATTTCTTGACACCCGTCGTTGGATGCGGCTTACCGTCAGGCTGACAGTACACCTATCGGCCGCGGCGCTTCGCTTCGCTAGACTTGCTAGTGTGTCCCGTCCTTCCTTTGCATCTTTCAGGATCTCGGTGCTCGTGGGGTTGTTGGGGTTTTCGATGACGAAAAATACGAGCGACAGGATGGCGAAGTAGGTCGTGTACATGACAAACCAGTAGGATCCTACCAATAAGCCTCGCCTCTTCATTTCGCTTGTTATGTGAACAATGTTCCTTGCGACACTGATGCACGCGGCGGCACAAGCGAAGCTCCTCTTATCGACGTTCCTCGCTTGACATGCCTGAGATACATAGTGTATAAACGGTCGATAGACCATCATCTGGACGTGAGCGTAGCCTATTCGCAGATGTTGTTGGACTCTGGGCACCGTCAGCTCTTCATCGCGCCCAAACACATTGTAGAACCCACCTTGAGAGCTCCCGACCTGCATTTTCCGAAGGCCTCAACTCGGTGGGCAATTGATCCATCCAGTTCTGCAGATCTCTTTCAAGCTCGCGGATCTTTTTGTGGCTGATGCTATAGACGGGCTCGGCCTTGGAGCTACCTGGAGATTTCAGAGGGTAGATATACCGAACCACCTTTCTCAGAAGCATCGTCAGCCTCGTGTGAGCGTTAGTTGCTCGTATGAGAGGAAATGTGCCAGTCGGCATTGGTAGAATGCCTTGTTCGGTAATGTACTCATCGTTGACCTCGGCAGGAAATTCTTGGTCGATGTCGTCGTCACTCAACATTTGAGGGAGACCAAGTGCAGTACCAACATAACAGTCGAGCTTCCGTACCAGCCAGAATATTCGCTTCCGTTCCTCCGACTCGATCGGGTTGAAATTATTAATGGGCAGATTGCGGTGCAAGCCCAGTCGGCAACATGCTCTCAATGCAATGCCAATATATGCGTAGCAAGTCGGCAATTTTGCCGACGATTGCAAAAAGAGTATCATGAAGACGATGGCTTGAATGGTCACCAGATCCCTGCAATCCGTGATGTCTAGTAACTGCTTAGCGCAACTAAAATATTGATATCTGATGCAGCGTTAGCGAGGGATCGTTCTCAGATCGACTTCAAAAACAAAAACCCTCACCCTTGTTCAATTGCCTCCTTGTAGCCTTTGAGATCCAGCATCGTGTTCTCGTTCTCGGTCTTAGAGAATAGGCAGCCAACAGCCATGACCACATAGAGTTGAGGCAGGAATTGAACATGCCGATTGTTATATTGCTCGGGATCAGTATCGTACACTGCGTGCAGTCGCTTAAAGAAAGTCGGTCGGTGGATGGGGCGCATGAGAGCGCAGCAGTCGTCCAGGGTGTTGCGACACAACTCAATGGCCACCTCTCTAGGAGGCAGGTCGACATGATGAGGGACGCTGAGATCTATCGGTGACGAGTTTGCCGATTTGGGAGATTCGAGGATTTGGGCAATTGTGCGGTTTTTGCTGGGGTGACGGTACTCTGCCAGGAACTGGTCGCCAAACTGTGCGCGAAACTTTCGCATGAAGACATAACCAGATGAATGGCCATGGAAATCCCAATTGCCATGGTCGTCTAAATCCAGCGAGCCGGTTCGGTCAACCATCGATTGGAGTTGAGCATCATCTTCGGGTTTTGGAAGGTCGGCCGCGGGTCTGCCATTCCCAGCTCCATTGCCATTGCCATTGCCGTTGCCGTTGACATTTGCATTTGGGTTTGGGTTTGCGTTGGTATTGGCATTGGCATTGGCATTTGCACGGCTTGCCTCGATCAACTGTTCAACGGTTCGCGCGTCAAATTTAGGATCGTCGAGGTCGAGTCCCGGTAGGACCGAGCGCAGGACTGACTCGGCCTTCTGCAGCCTCTGCTCCAACGCCTCGATATACTGTGGGGCAGGATTCCGCCGTCGGTTGGAAGGTTGATCATATGTACATTCTAAAAGCTCAAAGTCAGTGAATTCATGGCGCCGCATCGGAGGACGGATGGTCCTGGATTAGTAAAGGCACGCACCGTAGCTGTAGACGGTGCAATGCGTACAAGGCTGTTTGCCATCACACTTGATCTTTTTGCGACGACACTCGTCACAGGCGCGGGTCACCCGTCGTCGCTTTTGCATAGGGACGGTTGGCTTTGTCCCAGAGTCACTAGGCGGCGTCTCAGCTGGAGGAGATTCGGGCCGCGATTCCGAAGCATTTTCGTCATTGTGGTTTCTGGTGGCAACTGCAGCAGTGGTCGAAGGTTCGTCTCTCAGAGCCTCGTCGGAAGGGCGACCCATAGACTGGGGCGTTATCAGTTCCTGGTCGCCCATCCGTCCTCCAGCCTCAGGCAGCCAACCAAGGGAGGAAACACTGTAAAAGGAGAGGACGTCGTAGCACTCATTCGCTCACGAGTTGTCGGGAGGGTCGAGGTTGTCAAGCACAGAACTGTCTGGTGATGGCATACAAAAAGGCAAAGAAAAAGCACAAAAGTTTTGAAGGATCAGTTTGTCAGGGCCGGTCGACGGTGCCGGGTTCGGAGCCAGATACCCCGCAGCTCCGGTGCGTGCTTTTGAAGGGGGGACAGCGATATCGCTGAGAAGGAGCGACAGGAAGAGAAAAGGGAAAAGGAAGAAAATGATATCGTGTGCAAGAAGCAGAGGTTTGGGAACTGATCAACCTTTTGCTGGTACGAGCCGTACGAGAAAATCCGTCCGCCGCCCAACGACAAGGACAAGGGAAAAGCGAGAGGGCACCGTGCTCGGGTAAGGGACAAGGGAAGAAGGGAACAGGAAGGGGAAAGGAAGCATGTCCACACCCATTCCACACCCATTCCACCCACCGGGCTGCTGTGCCCTTTAGGCGCTCGTCACCCCCCACTTGAAGCCGTGACATTATTAACCAAAGGACCTGTTTTAACGGCGAGGGATGCGTCATTGGACATGGTGATGGAGTCTGGTCGTGCGGGTGGAAGCTGGGATTGCTGCTTGATAGCTTGCTGGGGACCGGAAGCGGATACCTGTGCGATGGCCCCCCTCGCTGCCCCCCCTCGCTCCTCCTCCTCCTTCGTATCCCCTCTTGGGCCCTGCTAGGCTTCTTGCATGGCGGGAGCAAGTGGGCGAGGCGACAGGCTCGGTGACAGGCCCATCGAACGCACACACACGGTGGATTCTCGATCCCATGGCTGCGTGGTAACTGGTGGGCAGACGCCGATCGAATGCTGGTTTTTGACTGATTTTTTTGCATGTTCAGCCTAGCAGCCATGCCCGGAGGCGGGTTCAGTCAGGGTTTCTGGGGGTCTCGCAGTGCTGGAAAGGTAGGACAAGGGCGTCACAGGTACGACAAAGCCTTAAATGCAACCCTTGTGTCCAGCACCTCTAAAGGGGACGCATGGCTACAGTAGGTAGGGAGTACCTACCTACGTACTACTGACTCATGCTTCTCTTCCTTCTAACCTAGCAGCTGGTGGTTGCAGCCGCTTTATCCCCGGAGGGGCAGCTCGCTCTTGCGAGACCGAAAATAAGAGAAGCAGCGGGATATGTTGTGTTTATATGTATATCGTGTGTACTCCGTTTTCTGCAAGAGACTCTGTCCACAGTGTCTCGAGTCCGACTCTGCTCTATCTCACCGGCGCTGCGCATTGTCCTCGGTCAGTAAGGCGCTCGCGAGTCAAACCTACCAGCCTCCATGCTCGTCCTTCGCGTGGCGTTTGGGGACCATCGTCCTATCGCGTAGCGGGCCCTCCCTCCACTTGCTTAACTCCGGCCTACTGAACCCAGGGGGCCCCGCCGATCGCTCAGGGCCCCTGGGCCAGTCGGATACCCTCAATATACCCCTGTGGTGGGTATCGTGATGATAAGTGTTGCTCATGTCACGGCACAGATGCAGCCCCAGGACCCAATATGCCCTTTATCAACAAGCGGTGTATGGCGGCTGAGACATGGGCTCTTCATGCAGAAGAACATGGCCATGCTATAGAGCCTAGCAGACGATCACAAATATATCTGGCGGATTAATCCCTCAATTGGAGGTTGCTAGAAAAGCTCTATTCGCTGTACCCAACGACCCACCTATTGCCACACTTGGTTCTTCTGTAGGTAGTAGGGCAGTCGAGAAATAAGGTCGTCATGCGGCGTGATGGAGATGTCGTAAATATATCATTACGTGAGGCTGCAGACGAACCGAGATGATGCAGCCCCTCGCACTAAGGCGTATTCAGGCACATCCCAGACGCCCATCCTCCCACCTAGCCCAGAGGCTATTGTAGACAGTATCAGGCAGGATCAATTTGTTGACTGCAGGGGCGCCCCCCGGTCGACTCAAAGGCTTTCATCGACTCAGAAAGCGGATCTGATCTGGTCGGTGGTGTTTGTTCTTCACCCACAACTTTGTCCTCGTTCATGGCAGCAGCAAAGGTGACGTTCCCGGTTGAGTCTGCGGAACTTCGAAGCTGGAGATCACCGAACAATTCATTCACGGTCTCCAAAGTATGCCCTTGTGTCTCAGGATAGAAGAAATAGACCACGGCTGCAGCGACCCAATTAAAGGCTGTGAAGATATAGAAGTACCGGTAACCCATCCCCGAAAGTGCAATGGGCGAGCACTGTGCGAAGATCAAATTGACTGCCCAGTTGGTGAATGTGGACAACGAAGTGCCTTTTGCCCGGATTGCCGTTGGGAACACCTCGCTGCTGAAAATCCAGGAAATGCACCCAAGGCTGGTGAAAAAGACCGAGAAGACAAAATACATGGCCACACACGCGCGCAGGGCGTTTTCGTTGCGGCTGGGGTCTTGGTTTCCGTCGATGTAGAAATGCGATAGGGTCGCATTGACGCATAGTGCTGCTCCCATGCCAATCATGGACGGAATTAGAAGTTTTCTTCGTCCCACTCGGTCCACAAATGCGATGCAGATCGTATTGTAGACCTGGGCAAGGGCACCGTATATTCCAATAATCATTAGAGACCTGCTCCGTATCAGAACCGGCTATAAAGAACCCCAGGATTATTGACAGCGAGCGCTAACCTGGTCGTGCTAAAATGAAGATAACTGTAAATCCTAGGTCCGTAACTAGTCTCTCATTAGCATCGAGCAGCTTCATCATCAGGGACAGGGCCTCGACGCAAACATCCTCCAGCGCCGGCTTTCTAGGAAACCTACTAGTTGATGACGTTGATTCCCGACGTTATCGTGAAAAGCTGTATCCCGCATGCCAACAGCACTCGTCGTCGGAGGCGTGATTCTCGAAACATGTCGAGCCACCCCATGCGAGACTTTTGCTCGGCTTCAAGATTGTCCTGAATGCGCCTGTACTCGGCTTCGACAAGTTCATGATTGCGATGGAGTCTTTCCAAGATTGCGTGAGCATGGAGTGTGTCTCCGCGCTCGGCGAGGAATCGAGGACTCTCGGGCAAGAACCAAATTCCCGCTGCGAGGACTAGGGCCGGCAGCACTTGAAATGAAAGTGGAAATCTCCAGCTGAAAGGGCCGTGGACCAGCGAGCTTCCATAGCCGATCCATTGGGCGCAAACGAACCTAGCGTTCAATTAGCCAGCAGATTCAGGGACTATTGCCCGATTGTGACTCGAACCCAAGGCCGATATTCCATTGTTGCAACCCAGCAAGAAGGGCTCGAAACTTGGGAGGTGCGACCTCTGAACAGTAGTTTGGTATCGTGGCCGATAGCAGCCCAATAGCCAGGCCAGCGATTACGCGGCCCACAATAATAGTGGCCACGTTGTTTGCACCGCCCTGCAGTGCGCCTCCTAAACAGGCCAACAGGGCCCCAAGAAAGATGGCAGCACGTCGGCCGTACTTGTCAGAGAGCACATTGAGAAAGAGTGATGAAACTATGGCGCCTCCTGTAAAGGATGATACAATTCCGCCTGCTGTATTGTCCGCTAGAGTTCCATTGCCAAAGCGGTTGACAAAGTCGGTCTGGGCGATGGAAGAGGAGATGATGCCAGAATCTGGTCATTCCAGCAGCTACTTGTCAGCCAATGATCTCTAATGCTGCCGTGTCTGCAAAGTAAAACAGGGGTCTTCGCCATCTCGTACCAAGCCATTGTAGTTGTAGGCTCTGCTCGTGTGTGTGCGCGCGGGTAATGTGGCAGTTGACGCGAACAAGATTCTGCGAGAAGCGTTGCTGAGAAAGAACTGCTATTACACTCACCATAACCAAAGAGAAAAGCCCCCAAGCAAGCAAAAGTACAACAAAAGCCTACTAAGAGCATCTGACTGTCATCCGATCGCTGCCGGACGGCAGCAGGACCTGTGAGAGAGTTGCTTATGTTATTGACCAGATGTTGCGGTATCAACAGTGCAGTTTGAAAAGCAGTCAAAGTGCTGAAAAACTCTCCGAACTGACCGACTGAGGGACGAGGTTGATGCTATGGACGTCGAATTCAGCAAAGCGTCGAGAGGCAGGGGGCCATCGGCACGCAGTGGGCAGAATTGGAGCCTTCCCCAGATCACTCTGGCCACTCAGACAAGCCACTTTGAGCGACCAAAAACCCACCAAAGACCCGGGCCTCGTATTGCGATTCCCAATGAAAAAGCCGCACATGTGAAGTCCATTCTCTGATAATGCATCCAATCTCAGCAGCACCCTTAAGGTAACAGTTTCGTGTTCGAAACCCTCTGCTTAGAGGTCTTCATCGACTTTGAGCAGCAAATTACCAATGGTCAAAACTCAACGGTCCTGCACGTTGCTCGGGAGGTCGTGGGTCAAAGACGAACAGGGTAGGGAGCTCAGCCTGCCATTTGCTGGACCTTACCTAGGCGAGAGTAATTCCCGTCAGGTGTTTGAACAGGTGGACCCGCCAGGGAGAGTCCGGTGAGCCCTCGGCTCAGGCTGCCGGGAGTCCAGGGATGCCCGTGCCAAAACAGCCTTTTGACCTCGTGAATGCTGTTGCGGTCAGCCCCGCAGATGGGTAATGAGCAAGAACAAGCGAGAAAAGCTGAAGGGTCATTTTCGGCCTGCCTAGGTTGCCAGAGAAGCGAGAAATCATGGTGGTTCCAGCATGAACCGGGACCGATAACTGACCAAAGGGGCGTTCAAAATCTCTGCACGGAGCTCGTCTTCCCAGTCCAACATGGCGGGTGCGAGCCCTGGGCCCAGAGACAGGAAGTTTAGGAGTAACTCGTTCAGCCTCTCAAAAGTCGGTCGGGACAAGCGCTTAGAGACCTTGAGCATTCTCCCCACAAACCATGGTCTCTCCGTATGAAATAAGACAGGGTTTTTGCTCCCACTCAACAATATTTGTATCAGTGCTTCCACTGAAATGTGTCGATCTAGTTCATTATGTATGATGTTGTCCATGAGCTCAGCAAAGAATGCTTCGCTGAATTCCGTTGAGTGACGATACTCCCAAACGGCTGTGTTGATTGTCATCAGAGACGCCAACCTGGAAATGATCTGTTTGAATTGTCCCGTCTCCGTGTACCGTGGGCCATTTGGGCTTGCAAGGAGATTGTAAAGTGGTTGTCCAGGTAAAAAGACAGAGTAGCGCAAGGGTTGTTGATTTCGTGAGATCGGGTTGCCCTGCATGCCGGCTTGGACAAGGGCAAGATGTTCGGCGCATTTGAGGAAGGTGATGAATTCCTCACACTGCTCGGCGATCTCAGCACGAGCAATAGCCTCAGCCTCTTGGTCAGATGAGTGACTCGGTGATGACTGGTGGTCAAAGTAGAATGTAGCGCCATGGCCTTTATAGCCGGAAAAAATGTAATCGGACCAATTTATCAACATCTGTAGTCTGTTGTTTTGAACCAGGGCTGCTGGTCCACCTCGGTCTCTGATCTTTTGCACCACCGCGTCCCAGTGCATCCATGCGTATATACGGCGTTCTATGCGCGGGTCAAAATCCTCTAGCGCCGCAGCAGAGATTGTGGCCGATATGGTTGCATCCGAAGTGTCGTGTGGGTACTGTTGGTAGTGATGGAGGAGCAACTGCGACGCTTTAGCCCGATGCTCGATGGCGAGACGTGTTTCTGAAAGACCTTGGACCCAAGCTTGAGTATTGGCGGCGTGAACGAGAATGGTGTTTTGGAAGCACACGGCACCTTTCATGGCCTCCGGGATGAACACAGTTAGGTACCAATTGTGTGCAAGGGGGCTGCGTCTTTCAAACCCATATGAGCAAGCTGGCATGACGTTCGCATAGAAATCGAATAGTTCCTGATCTTGAGGGCTTAGTTCCATTGGGAGCGAGGCGAACGGATCGGTTCGCGCAGCACTCAGATACGATTGTGGTTCCGGGCTTTGAGACGAAGAACCGCTCGACGGCCAACGCCGCTTATGAGGTGGTGATGAATCACTGGACTTGGTCGAGGACGGAGGAGTGAAGGGAGCGTTGGGGATCATATCCGCCAACTTGGCAAAGGCCGTAGAACCTAGACGAAAGGTGGTCGCAGGCTTCGTCCGTCCCACCACAAGGTGTGGGATCTGACGATCAATCTCCTCGACGGCTTCATCTAGATAGCTCTGTCCGTCAGCGTTGTCACTTGCAGTCGCTTTCGTCGCTATACTCCTGGTCGATTCTCGAACATCGGTCGCTACCGCATCTCTACCCTGGAGACGTCTCTGACGCGATCGCGGTCGCGATCTAGGCTTGTCTGGCTTCTTTCGAGTCGGTCCTTCAGATCCATCGGCGGTGTTGGAGTGAGAGCGAGCCTCCCATCGCTTCTCCCTCATATATTCCTGCATTACATGGCGCCGGACTTGGGTGGAGTTGGATCCCATTGAGGTAACATCACTATTGTCGATGAATTGAAAACGACGCTGTGGTTTCTTGGAACTAGGGGCAGACATGGTCGGCGTTATAGCTGGCGCCATTCTGCGAGACCCAAAGCTTCCAGTGCTTCCGCTCCAGTTTCCAAAGCCGCAAAGGCTCCAGACAGCCACAGGAGGGAACAAGGAGTCTGTATTGACGGCAAGTCCACAGCCTTATTTTAGACCTTGAATGGAGACAGGACGACTCCTCTTGAAGAGCATTTAGTAGGAAAAGAGCGTGGGCGCCCTTCTACCGCAGAGGCAAAGGCTGGTCGAAGAGGATGGCACCTTTGTCATGACGTTTTTGGTAGTTCTTCAGGAACTTTTATTCGCACGTTCAAGTCCGGTCCTCCACGTGTGCCTCTGACAATGAAGCGAAGGAGGCGACCGAGCAGGGACAGTCAGACTTTTGAGGACCGGGGATTTGCCTTTTTTCTTTTTTGGCAAGCCTGCCGTCTGGAAGTTGGGCGAGCAATATACAAATTCGTGACTGAGCTCTCGGCGGTCGCCGGGGCGCTACACGAGGGTCAACCGAAATGGCAATTGGTGTCTGTGATGTTCTTGGTAGATAGGTGGACAGGCTGTCATTGTTACAGCGATGTCTGGATGATGATGGTTGTCTAGAAGGAATAGGCGTATCTCCTAGCCCTTTCAGGCGGCTCGGGAGTCGGATTTCAGTGGGCACTGCCCAGCAGACGCGGTGGAGTCCCTCGCAAACAGTGAGCACTGGCCACCATCGGTGGCCTGGGGCAGCTGCTTGATGTTAGTCAGGCGCCTTGGTGCACCTTCTTCTTGTCCATCATTATCTGTTTTCGGGGCTTACCAAAGGCTTAGGAACCACCCGTGGAGTTCTCGTAGGCCCATTTGCTTCGGGGTCAGTCTGCAAGTAGTGAGCCCTGGAAGAGCCCAGCTTTGTCGTCCTTTCTCGGCCATAGCTCCATGACAAAGTCCTGCTCTGGAAAACACTGGTTGCATCATGGCTCAGGGAATGGGCTAGAACTTGTGCAATGATAGGATCGATATTTGTCCAAGCTCCTCAAGACATGACTCGGCCTCGAACTGTATCGCTGCATTTGGGGCTTCTGGGAGTATAGTTAATACGAGGAGGATGACCACCCGGGGAGAATCACTAAAAGCGGACAGCCAATTGATGGTCCGAAAGCTCCTCGTATCAACGCAATCAGGTACCGGCGAGCAGTGGACATGCACGGGTGGTACTTTTGTGGTTCGTAGTTCTCTGAACACCACTGAGATGAGGGTCCCAAAGGGAATGGAGATAGACAGTGGGCGGCCCGCTTGAAGCAGATGTAGATATATACCATTCCAATTTGCTGCTTCCTATGGCGACTTCTCAAAGACTGCTCTTGGTTTTCCCTTGCTGACTCGACCCCTGCCTTGTGCATACGGCACTGGGTACAATGACTGAAGAAGAACAAGAATCTGGGCCATCGCTCTTGATGGGAAAGGCCTACTTTGTTGTTGATGTGATGTGCCTCTTTTAATATCGGTCGGCTGCTACCTCGCATTGTCTCTCTATCCCTCCCCTTTGAGGTGTTGTTTTTTCAATATATCACCATCTCTTGCTAGGGTCTGGCTACGAAGTCTGGAGAAGGAGCACGCTCGTCATGAGGCGCGAGGGTCGCAGTGCTGCTGTCAAGTTGAGGTCAACAAGGCCCCTCACACCTTACTAACCCGACAGTACCGAGTAAGAGCTTGGCCCATGTCCGGGTTGAGCCAAAGGAGACCAAGCGGTGGGACACGCTTCCCACAGATGATTCTGAAACGGGATGCTCTGCGCTGTTGGCTCTGCCCTGACCTGCTCTCACTGCTCTCGCCGCTCTCGCCAAACCTCCACCTGCCATTGGCTCCCTTGTCGCAGGTTTCTCTCCAGCGAAGCCTCCAACACTCCCAGCGTCTCAGAACCTGCCTCAGCCAGTGGTCATACTGCTTGGCTGGCTTCTTTGACTCGTTGCCTTGGTGGCCTATCCCAAATCTGAATCCCAAGTCAACCCAAGTCCAAAACCCCCAAACCACCCCCGGCGACGTCGACCGCGGACGGTGCCGTCAAGTGGTGTGCTCGTCCAAAACCCCCTGGACCCTGAGTTTCCTCGTCCTTCTCCTTCTTGGCCCATACTCCATCGTCCTGCGCCCTCTGCAGCAAACTACGGTGCACTTACTTTTCCACTGCATCAAGCGGTGTCGACAAACTAGTCTCTACCTGCTCTCAGTCAGCTCGATCCTTTCACCGAACTGCAGGTGCCGTAAACATCGTGTAACCTTTACACTGCGGGCTCGACAAAACTTTCAACAAACGCGCCTAACCGCTGGACACGGTTCGCGTTTACCCATCCTGCGCTCATTCTGTTGAACCTGTGCCGAACCAGACGAGCACCTGGCCTGCGCTGCGAGCGCGAAATTACTCAGACGACGTCGACAGCTCGATCTCAAGCTCGCCTGGTCTCTCTTTGGTTGTCGTTGAAAGTCCAATCAATTTCTGCGAACCATGGCGCAACCAACTCAATCAATAAAATGCGTGGTAACTGGCGACGGTGCCGTGGGGAAGACTTGTTTGCTGATATCCTACACCACCAATGCATTCCCTGGCGAATACATTCCCACAGTCTTTGACAATTACTCCGCCAGCGTCATGGTAGATGGGAAGCCCGTTTCCTTGGGACTATGGGATACTGCCGGTCAGGAAGATTATGACAGATTGCGACCACTATCATACCCTCAAACAGACGTCTTCCTCATATGCTTTTCCATCGTTTCACCGCCGAGCTTCGACAACGTCAAAGCAAAGGTAGAAGACCCCTTTCTCCTCAACTTTGGTAATTTTGCCACTAATGATTTGGGCGTAGTGGTACCCCGAAATTGAACACCACGCTCCTAATGTACCTATTATCCTTGTTGGGACAAAGCTAGATTTGAGGGAAGACAAAGCAACAGCGGACAATCTGAGGGCGAAAAAGATGGAACCTGTGTCTTATGAGCAAGCCCTGGGGGTAGCTAAAGAGATCAAAGCAGTCAAATATCTGGAATGTTCGGCACTCACACAGCGAAATCTGAAGAGTGTCTTCGATGAAGCCATCAGGTGGGAGACTTCTCCATATGTGCAAGACGTACATTCTACTCACGTTGCTACAGAGCCGTCCTCAACCCTCGACCTACGACAACCAAGAAGAAGTCGAGGTGTTCCATCCTCTAGTCGTCTTCGGAGCACGGTTCTGGATTGGGGTTATCTGGGATTTTGCCTTGTTTCTGACTCGGGATGCATCGCAAAAGGTGGTTATAGACTTCATCTGCGTCGCTGCTTCCTGGTTCCCATACAATTTTGCCTTACTTCTCCTAGGCCAGCCTCTGTACACACACCAGACACGGTTGGCCTGGGAGCGATCTCACGCATACGAATAATACAGCGGCAATGTAGGCAGGAAAGGAGGCGTTGATATAGGACGGGATTCACATCCAATATCTTGAGCAACAGCCGGCCTACTTTATCACAACTTTGCGTTTTGTAGCCGCTCCCAGCAGGATCTCGGTCACTCAAAGCGTTACCCGAGACAGTCGACTGGGATGGATGTCCCCACGGTCGTCCTTGACCTCACTGCCGGCCACAGCGGTTGCATTTGCACCCGTCTCAGGCGGACCTTTTTTCTTCAACCCGGCCTTTTCGCGCTCAGCTTTCTCCTTGATCCTTCTCCTCTCCCTCTCCTCTTTGAGCTTTTCATTTCTCGTCTTGATCTTGGCCTGGCGGTCTTTGCTTTTTTTACCGCCGCCTCCGGCGGTCAATTCAACATTTATCCTTCGCCCTTTGCGTTTCTTTGCTTGCCTCTGTGGTGACTGTTCTCCTTCATTTCTCCCACCCTCTATTCCGTCTGTTCCTTTCTCCTTGCCATCTGGGTCAAACATAGAATGATGATACAGCTTCAAACAAGTCTTCATTTTGTCGTAGTTGTCGAATTCAACAAACGCAAAACCCTTGCTCTTCCCTGTTTTCTTGTCCGTCGAGAGGCGCACAGAAGCCGGGGCGATTTTTGAGAAGTGCTTCTTTATTTGCTCTGGTGTGGTCTCGAAAGGGAGGTTGCCAACGAAGACAATGAAACGAGTAGGAGTAGTCGTTTTCTTTTTGCCGTCATCCCTTTGAGTTCTTGGTTTCTTCGTTTTCTCCTGGGTCTTTCCTACACTCGTTTGGGGGATAGCATCGCTTGGGTCCCCCGCTGTCGAAGCTGCATCGGCAGCAGAAGTGGTCGTGCCCTCAATGATAGAGGTTTCTTGTCTCGTCTCCTGCTCCCTCGACTTTCTCTGCTTTTTAGATCTCCTCTCCGACTTCGCTTGCCTTAGCTGTCCCTTCGACTTCGCCGGGGTGTTCGACACCGCCGTCTGAGGATTAAGGTTCGGCTGTTCTTGAGTAATGGTCGAGTCATCCTGATCGTGATCCTGGGCCAGATCCCACTTTCTCTTCTTGGACATTCTCGGATACTCTAAGGGAATAATATCTTAGTAAGAGCAGGTCAGTAAATAATCTGGCGACCAAAAAGGTCATTCAAGGCACCGTTCACAACTTGTGGAGGTTTGGGGGGGAAAAAATTGATCTGCGGACTTGGTCGGCTGAAGTAAGTCACCAGGGAAGATCGGAGGGCACGTCATGCCCCCGAGGCAGCCGACAACCTACCACTCACGGGCCTTCCCTCACTGGACCTTGTAGGCACATTGAGCGCCACTGAAGCGCAGGGCAGCCACAGGCTCACTGTCAAGCGCTGTTCAGCACTGCCCCATGCATCGACTCCAAGTTCCGGTTAAAATGCCTACCTGATACGGCGCAACCTGGCCAGTGTACACGGGGGAAGGGCACAGCGTACAAATCCTCTTTCCTTTCTTTTCAGCGTTGCCTTGAGATCCACGTTTAAGAACGTCCTGTCCGTTTCCTTCTGCCTTGGTCCGTCAACGCTCTGGCGGCCACATTCCCTCAACTTCCCCTCTTCGTCTCTCCGCTATGATTGACAGATAAACGAGGACGCTCGACGTTGTCCCATCCCACGTCTCAGAAGCTCCCCCTCCGACTCCCAGCTCCAGCTCTGCAATGGCAGTCTACGCCTCTCAGCTTGGTGCCAAAGGGCCCTTTACAAACCATGCTCCCGTTCTGCCAGCCCACGCGCCTCCAGCCGGTACGTTTTTGCCTGGCACCAAAGTCCAGGTGGGCGATCACAGGGTTATCATCGAGCGGTATCTCTCCGAGGGTGGCTTTGCCCATGTCTATGTTGTCCAGCTCCCTCGGCCCGTTGATGGAAATCAGAAGGCTGTGCTCAAACGAGTGGCTGTCCCCGACAAGGAGCATCTGGCCAACATGCGGACAGAAGTCGAGACCATGAAAAGACTGCGGGGCCAAAAGCATATCGTCAAGTACATTGATTCGCATGCTTCCCAACTAAAGGGCAGTGGATACGAGGTGTTTTTGCTCATGGAATTTTGCCAGGGAGGGGGACTCATTGACTTCATGAACACCCGGTTACAGAACAGGTTGACCGAGCCCGAAATCCTCAAGATCTTTACCGATGTGGCCGAGGGTGTCGCATGCATGCACTACCTGAAACCTCCTTTGATGCATCGAGATTTGAAGGTTGAAAATGTCCTTATATCCACGAGTGGTTCATCTAGGATATATAAACTCTGTGATTTCGGTTCTGCGGCTCCTGCGAGACCCGCTGCTACGACCGCTGCGGAAGGTCGCCTAATTGAGGACGATATCAACCGCCACACAACCCTACAGTACCGCAGCCCCGAAATGATCGACGTCTACAGGAAACAACCCATTGACGAGAAATCAGATATTTGGGCTCTCGGGGTGTTCCTATACAAGCTTTGCTATTACACAACGCCCTTCGAAGAAGTTGGGCAGATGGCCATCCTCAACGCAAAGTTCAAATTCCCTGGCTATCCACGATTCTCTGACCAACTTAAGCTGCTGATTGCTTCCATGCTTCGGGAACGACCAACAGACCGACCAAATATATATCAGGTGCTACAAAAAGCATGTCAGTTGGACGGCCGTGAATTAACGTTCGAAAACATATATGCTCGTCGGACGCAATCCGAAAGTCGTAAAGACCAAGTGCTACCACAACCATCTGGTTCGCAATCTCGAACTGGGGCCACCTTGTCTCCTCCAAAACCGGCAGCTCCCCCAACTATTCCTGATATCGAGCCAATGCGGCGGGGACGACCAACCAAACCTATATCTCACCATGGTTCAGCAAAACCGAGCCCCTCACCTCTGCGAATGATGGACAACTCAAACTCCGATCCCTTTGCGGCACTGGACGGGAGCAAGGCTTCTGTCGAAGACGAGCTTTCTTCAAGATTCCCGACACTGGATCAGTTCTCGTTACTGACTGACAAGGGCCAAAAATTTGCGTTTGAACCTCAGACCGAGAAGAAGAAAGAGTCTGTCGATGTGAATCTTGCACAACGAGTCACGAATGCTCTAGCGGATGATGCATTTGCAAGGCCACCTAGCCCCGCAAAGCCGAAACCACCAACAGACAAGCCCGCACCTATTAGCAAATCGCAGACTGTGTTGCAGCATAAGAAGTCCCTAGAAAGTAAAGAAACACAAGCTCGAGCGAATGCAGCAAACCCACCACCCGTCACTGCTCTCAAACCCACTATGGTGTCCATCGGCACCATGACCTCGCCATCACCACCTCCAACAACGGACGCCAAACCATTTGCAGATCGCCCAATACACCGATTTGCTCCCAGTGATCAACCTCTGAAACTTGCTGCGGCGCCGCAGAAATACGAGAGCATGGAATTGCCTCCTAGGGAGCCCCGTTCTTCTCGCAACAAAGACGCATCGAGGTTGGCAAATCTACTCAGAGAAGATGGGTACAGGTCGCAACTTGCTGGGGATATGGAGCCAAAGTCGCCAACTTCGTCACGTCCATCTTTGGAAGGCGGTCGTCCGACCATGCGGGAGCCCAATTCTGGAGTGAGCAGGTCAAGGTCGCTGAATTTCCGAAATCGACCCGCCAGTGTTAATATCGGGGCGAGGCCGACTCACATCAAAGACAAGGAAATCAAAAGCCTTGACTATGACACGACGTTCAAGAGTGCAGAACCTGAAATGGCGCCTTTGACGCATGTCGAATCCGCAACAAATATTGCCTCGGACGTAGACTTCCTCAAAGCTAAAGAGGAGGAAGAGAAGTCACGTAAGCATCATAGAAGGTTGGGCAGTGGTTCGAGGCATCTCAAAAGAGCCAGTCTGCCATCAATCGTCCCCAATATCGCGGGAACGACCAGATTGTTGGCAGGCAAGTTTGGAGACGCTTTCAAGATGTTTGAGAGCAACAACGACCCGACTCATCACCGGCAGCGGAGTGACTCGCCCTCCCGTGACCCCATTAACATTCTCACCCCAATTGCAGGTTCCGAGGCCACAGATCTCAGCGACGACCGTCAGCCATGGGACGACATGGAGGACCTTTCACCTGAGATGAGACGAGAGATGGAAAAGCGGAAACTCGAGGCCGAAGAAAGAAGAGTAGCTCAAGCAGCCGCAGAGTACAGGCAGCGAGTAGCAGCAAGAGGGGCCGGGGCTGTAGGGAGCAGTGGAGGGGTTGGAAGGTCGGCTACCATTCAGAACAGGGTGAAGTCATTATTGAGTGAAAATGATCGACCTGCACAGAAGACGGCAACGGGCTACGGTCACTACACCGAATCTTCATTGCCTCAGCAAGCGCATGCAGATGACAGGCGGCCATCTCAACCGTCCAGGGCGCCCCAAGCTCAATTGACTGGCAAACTGGAAAGACACAGCGCCCCTGAAGTTGCGGCGTCTGCACCAGCCTCTATGACAGATCTCAGCAGGGTAGATTCCCGAGGACAGAAGCCGAGCGCGCCGCCGAAACCAAAGGTGCTGCGGACCGGGGGTATAGCAGAGTCGGCTGTGGTGAGTACGAGCGAGCTGAATGCTCCTGCTACGAACGTCGATGATGACTGGGAGGCAAACTTCAGCAGAAGGTATCCGAGCCTTGCTGGAATCGAGATGGTGGAAACCTCGATAGAGGGACCAAAGAGCGGCACGGCTGTGCGCACAAAAGAAGTATAACGAGGAGGTAGAGCACATGTAGAATCTCAGCCAGGCATACGCGTTTCTGTTGAAGTCGGCACTGGTGTGATTTGCGTCAAACTAGTGAATGAAAGTAAAGTGAAAGTTGGTGGTTACAACGCAGCTGGTAGTAAAGCCTGCCATTTACGCACCCAACACTCTGCTTCTTTTCCTTCCAGACTTCCATCTTCGACGGTAGCAACCTCTTCTTTTTATCACCTCTACTATTTCTTACGCAGAACCCTTCGATCCATTGGTACGCCTTGCATGGTGATCCCGCTCACCAGCCCTCGAGGCTCAGCACGGCGTTGTACAAGGCTTCAACCCCTCGGCGTGGGGCTTCAGACGCTCAAATGACCAATCCACATCCACCCCTAAACCCTGACCACGACAAGGATCATGGAGCCGGAGTCGGGCCCCCACAACCCAAGGGCACTGGGAATGGCGCCGGAACACCCAAGACCCCCTCTACCAGGGCTGGAAGAGTTGGCAGGAACTTTCGAAATGTTCGCACACAACACGTTGTCCGTCACCAGAAGACAGCATATGTCTACAGAATTGGCATACGCCTCCCCAAGGAGAAATTGCGACAGTTCCCACGGTATAACGGCAAAGTCGGCAAGTTTTTGCATGATGGTAATGGGCCGTTTGTGACGCTCAAGGTCCCGCCGCTACATACCATTCTCAACAGGGGGGGTGGGCAGATTCGAATAAACACATCTGCAACAGCAGTCTCAGCAGCTATTCTGCCAGCATCTACAGGGACGCTTTTGTCGGGAACTCCATCTATTTTCTCCGAGGAAGGGCGTGACTCCGGTCTCATCACTCCCATCACCAACGAGTCTTCACCTGGGGGAACTTGGCCCACCAACCATCTTGGTCACGAGTGGAGGGGTGCTGAGAAGGAACTTCTGTTGGCTACCACTGGATCCAGCATCGTACACGATCAACCTAGACTATTTTGTCACGATACCAGACATCCGGCCGCTTCTACAAGCTTTGAGGATTCGTTGGTGTTCTCCAGCAAGTCCCGCTCCGACTTTGAGGATTTTCCTGTTGCCGAGCGGCTCCTGAGCGCCTCCAACGCCAACGATACCACAATGGCGCCAGTCAAGGACACCAGCAACGTGCACAATACCATCAAAGATATAATCCAACATCTTACAGACATCCAGATCCAAACCCATGGCTACATCCCTGCCACCCAAGACTTGCTTGTTGACAAACTTACCGATCTGGCCAATTCTCTCTCCCAATTAAAACGCCTAACTTCGCCCACCGAATCTCCCAACAACTATATCCATCAAGTCGCGATAGCCCCTGAGATAGTGGACTACGTAGACGATGGCCGCAATCCAGATATTTTCACCCGAGATTTCGTGGAGAACGTACAGAGAGGGAATGCGGTGATCAACGGCAAACAACAAGCGTTTAAGGAGTTCACCGAGATTTTTGCGCAGAAGTTGAAGGAAGGGATTCCAGGCGTGAGTAGGGAGGTGGATAGGGTACTGAAGAATGCTGGGTTTAATGAGCAGGATGGTGCAACGGCGAATGGCGACGAACAGGTGGGTTTACAGCACGGTGACGGGAAGGAGAACGGGCCTTCGAATGGGTAATGGCTGGCTGAAGGGTTGGCCGGTATTTCATATCCATGAGAAGTCCACGACACCAGCGAGAAATCCCAACCGCTTCAAAGAGACTTGCAAAGGTATCCAGCTATTGAGCACTATGGGTGAGAAGATTAAAGGCAGAAGTATGACTGTTGTGGCATAGTCCATCGGCATGGCCACGTTGGGCTGGGAGCATCAGTACTATGGGAGCTCAGGTGCAAGTGTGCTGAAGCAACATGTGGAGCTAGGCAGTGTCCAGAATGAGCCGCAATATGGAGTTGACTGCCTGAAGATGAACAGATTGCACCATGATCGAAGGCAACTTGGCTAGCTAGCTTGGTGCAAAAGGCTGTCGCATGTCAATACGAGGCTGAGCTGTTACTATTTTACTGGCTTGGCCGGAAAAATCCTCCGCCCCGAGCTTCGACTGGCGTCATCACCCATCAGTTGTCACCTGCTGTAGTTCATTGTCCTCCACAATCACCGAAGCTGTGTCTTCTTTACCTAGCCATCTTCGCGGTAACTAGCCCGCAATGAATACCTCACCAGCACGCACTCTCCTTTCTAGGCGAGTGTGCCGCTTCACATCCTCGAAGCTAAGACCAACATGCACGCCAACACCCAGTCCTCGCCTAAGTCGACTCCTCTCGAGCAGCGCCCCAAACAATGAGTCTACAAGCGCACAGTCATCTTTCTCCTCCCCCATCCCGACTTATGGCTCCTCCGAATTACTCCGTCGAAAATACCAAAAGAACAACCGGGAATCCGACATCAAGAAGGACAAGGCCGAGCAAGCCAGAACAGTAAAACGCATGCGCTGGGCTGGGTACGGGATTGCAGCTTGTACTTTGGCGATCTTTGGTACTATATCACTATACCCGGATCCCACGAAAGAGAAACAACTTGAACCATCAAAGACGGAAGCTAAGTCTACCTCGAACGTCGTCCGATTAGACGCACCTCCCTCCATAACCAGCTCAATCATCGGCCCCTCGTCCAAGCCCAAAGACGACGAACAGATAGCCACTGGCACAAGTTCCATCCCCTTCTTCCCCAGAATCATTCATATCGCGTCCGACGCACCACCATCCACTCCGGCCTCTGCCAATGAAGGTGGCCAATCCGACGTGGAATACCAGCTTGTCGGTTTAGGAATCCGCACTGTGTCACTTCTCGGCATTCAGGTATACGTTGTAGGCCTCTACATCGCGGTGCCGGATATTGCCGCCTTACAGCAACGCCTCGTCCAAGCAGCCGTGCCTCCAAGCGAAAGCGTTGCAACGACGCTTGTGCCCAGCGAGAAAAGCCAGCTCAGAGAGCTGCTTCTCGATCCAGAGCGCGGAGAACAAATTTGGAATGAGATCATCAAAGATGGCCAATTACGCACAGCATTCAGGATCGTTCCTACCAGAAACACCGATTTCATGCATTTACGAGACGGGTTTGTTCGCGGAATTACCGCACGCTCGGCGCATTTCGCCTCGGATAAAAACGACGACTCCTTCCAGGACGAATCGTTTGGCGCCGCGCTCAACGAATTCAAATCCGCATTTGGGGGCAGTGCACGGAGGAAACTCCCCAAGGGCGACATCCTTCTTTTGGTAAGAGATGCACAGGGAAAGATGACCGTGTGGAATGAAGTCAACAAAAAGGGGGATAGAGTTCAAATGGGGGTCGTGGCAGATGAGAGAGTGGGTCGACTATTGTGGTTGGGATACTTGGCTGGAAAGAATGTTAGTAGCGAGGATGCGAGGCGGAATGTCGTCGAGGGCTGTATGGAGTTTGTGGAACGGCCAGTTGGGACTGTTGCGACGCAGGTTGTATGAGGCGAGATCCAGGTCGGATGAGTGATATCAGGGGCCCAGGTGCATTGCAGAATGGCTGCGTCTCCATGGACTTCAAATGGACGCGACCTTTTTTTCAGATGAGATTGAAGAGCGCGGTATGTATCCCGCAGGGCATGCCAACGAACTGTTGACCGTGAGAAAGAAGATTGAGGAGTTGCGACCTACATACTCGGCTCACAAAACTCACTGGTGTAACAAACTGAGGGACAAAAGGAAAAGCACCCTCTGGGATAGGTGTTGTGTACAAGTACATGAAGAATGGAAAAAGACCATGCATGCATCCATGCTCTGAGTTGTACGTGCAAAGCTCACCATGCTGTAGAATTCAGTCGGCCTGTTGCGCCGGGCTTCTTGTTGTAGGACGGGCCTTGTCTTCGATTTCCTCAAAACGATATCTTCAGTCAACGAACGGAAAGTGTGTGCACAAGACGGTATGGTATCTCCGCACATAGTTGAACAAAATGGCGTCTCTGCAGGAAGACATTCTTCGCCAAAGAGGTATGGTATTCATCATCTATCCGAGTCTTGAACCAGCCATTGGGTTCACCATTGAATTGTGAATTCTATCCCCCTTCCAGATATCTGGCCGCGGCCGAAGACTTGCAGCGCTGCAGTTCTATTGTGATACCGATTGCCGCGAACATCGATCGTCGAGTCTGATCTAGCCCGCGTGTCAAACAACTGTTGCATACGGACGAGGTGTCCTTTTTCCACACATCTAGGCGGTCGTTTAAAGAGCGCCCGCTGCACTCAACAAATTATTGAGTTGCCCTCGTCTCGCCTGCAAATCCGAATTGCCTCCAATGTGTTTGTGGTCGATGAAGATGTTGGGAACACTGCGCTGGCCCGTGATCTCTTCGAGAGCATCTTGGATTGCGGCGCCATCGTCTAAACAAGGAACCAAAAAAAAAGTGTCAGCACATCCTGCCGGCGAGGGTGCTCGGGCGTGCAGAAGGGGGCGCAGAATAAGACGTACCAACTTCATCCAACTCCAACAAATAGTATTTTGCTTTTAACTCATTCAACAGCGTCTTGGAGGCGCGACAGTATGGGCAGTAGCTCTTGGAGAAGACCACGACGGCGTTCTCGTCGATGATCTGTTGGGCCTTTTGTTTGGCGGCAGACATGGCGGCGGGTGATACCGATGGAGAGGTGAAAAAGGTGCGTACGAAGGCGCGGAAGGGGGAAAGGATTGAGGAAGCTATTGTGGCGGTATTGTTTCTGGGATATGAATCTAAAGAAAGGGCTTCGGGGGAAAAAGAGGGTGTATGGGCCTCTATATGTAGCTGTCGCAGCAGGGGCCCGAGATGCCGTGCGTTTCTAGACTCTAGTCGGTGGTGATGACTCGGTGAGGATTACCAATTGGAGAAAAGACAGCGATTGCGAAATCAGCGCTGGGAATCAATGAGAGTTGCGCGAAGAGGCTTTTTGGGACGCAGATTGACAAATCTTGGAGGGCGATGACGATGATGGCAGCAGCGGGGGGCCAGTTCGGTGCTGGTGGTGCCGGTAGTAGGGGTTGATGCGAGATGGTGGCAGTTGGCGCAGTTGGGTGCAGTTGGTGGAGGAGGTTTGATATGCGATCAGTCATCAGCGCGGGAGAAAAGCCGGGAGCCCCAATGTGGTTAGATCCATCCGCTGCTAAAAGTGGCGCAGGACCTTCTCCCTTGGGCCCGAGCTGTTTTCGCTGCAAAGCTGCAAGGCTGCCCAAGGCTGTGCCAACTCCCTCCCATAATCAACCAAAGCAAAATGGAAAGCAAGGGCGTGCTCTTGATCTCGACTTGTTATGCTTGTACACGGGGCGTCCGCCTTTGACACGCTCAAACCGAGACCATTGGGTCGACCAGCGTCGCGACGGCCAGGGAGATGGGGTCGGTGTGACTTCAGATCCATCTTTCTTTCGAGCACTGACCTCGTCCTTGCACCCAGCACCCTCATCCCAATCTGTCGCCTCCCTTCTCTTGTCTCTGCTATCGAAACAAAAATGGTGTGAAAGATGGTCAAAAGCCTGCTTTCATTCTCGTACAGCTCTTTGCGAACAACCTTCTCCCCTGAGTATCTCCTAGCACAAACCGACGAGGAAAAATATTGGTTCACTCCCGCTAAAATTGCAATCATGGAAAAAAGCAAAGCATAGGTCACACACTGCCAACAAACCCCGTCACAAATGAAATTGAAGCCCACGTCTTGTGAATCTGTACAGAAGAAAGTGGTCGGACCGTTTCTGCCCATCTCCTCACATGACGACGCAGCACCCGCAGCCCTTCTCCTTGACCTTCTCTTCCATCTCGTCTTGCTGCATCCGCTGCACCTGCATCCTCGTGTTCGGTTGAGTGGGCACAGACGTGATACTTCCCATCCCAGGGTTTTGTGCGGGATTCGAGACCCGGGGCATCGTGCTGTATCCGCCATTCTGGCTTCCTCCCGTGCTAGGTCTCATGCTGCCAGCTCCAGAATTCCTGACGCCGGGCCCGGGTTTCAAGGGCCAGGCGCTCCCGCCGTCAGCCACATCAGCCTCCTGTTCGCCTAACTGCGGCGACTGGGGAATGATTGGCGAAGGCGACTTGACCTGTCCATTACCCGTATGAATCGCCAGAGGCGAGAAATTCCGGTCATACGTGCTGGGAACCGCGCCTTCATCTTCCCACTGCGCTTGTTGTTGTCTGCGAGCGTGCGTTGGAATGATTTGCTCCTCGGGAGGGAGTCTAGGATCTGGTTTATACATGGTGGCAAGCCACGGCGGATCCCCTTCAGGTCGGTTCACAGCTGTTCGAGGCCGATCTAATTCTCCTGACCTCGTCCCCGGTCTTTGATTTGTGGACGGCGTTGCGCTGGGTTTGGCGTTAGTCGAAGGTTTTCTTGTTGTGGTAGATGTCTTGCGTCCGGCTGACGTGCCTGGCGGTGAGCCTTGGGCGGTTTTGGGTCCATTTTTGGTGGGCGATGATGTTTTGGATGTTAATTGCTTGCTGGGAATCGGTGTCGTGAGGAATGTAGAATCGCTTTCGTCCTGCATCGTCTGACTTCCTGTGCTTCCCTTTCTGGTTCTGGTCTTGAAAACAGGTATTCCATCTTCGGGACTCATACTGTTACTAATAGTACGCTTCCTGACCAGCGGGGTGTCTCGTTCAATTCTTTCTTGCGGTATGGGCAGTGGACTCG